GCATGTCTAATGTAAAATAACATGAAAAATTGTAGCTGTGAATAACCATAACATTTGTTATTTTAAAGAAAATATTGGGATTTATGACACAAACAAACTGTTCTGATACACTCAGGAATTTACCAGATTCTCACAAATAGTATTTTTCTTATTTAAAAGAAAAAATTGTTAAATTTAAGTTTAATACTGTAAAAACATTTCTTAAACTTAGTACAATTAGAAACAGTTAACCATAACAAAAAACATGTGTTCTGTAATTTGACATAATTTGCTTATTAATTGACAAATATCTCCTTTAATTATGTATATTTGGAAAATAAAAACTTTAATCAGTGTATAATGTCTACAAGCATTGTTAAACTGTCAAAACACAATTTTGATAATTGAAAACAGCCATAATTACTGTAATTTCACAGACGTTGACTTATCATAATGCTTAGATTACAAATTAGATTAAAATATTAATTGCCCAAAAGTGGTAAAATTACAGAAAGGCAATATTTAATTTATTGTTAAATGACAGGTGTCACCTTTTAATGGGCTTAAAAATGTAAACTTCCTGTAAAATTATGGGTTTGTGATTATAAATGAATTTTAATGCCATTTTACAGATACTTCGATTGAAGAGTCTTAGCTATATGTGTCCTATCAAAACCTCAACATATTTAAATCAGTTTTTTTATTAATTAAAAATGACAACATGTTCACATTTTACATTAGAGTAATATATATCCATTTATCTTAGACCGGAAACCCCTTTTGAGTTATCTTGTACTAAGGTTATTTGTGACAGTTTCAGACCCACATCTGATATTATTTATAGACCATTTATTCAGTTCCATGCTCATGTTGTTCTCCTGAAACTAAAGTAGTTTAGTTTTTATTTACCTTATTGATGACATTTTCAGATATATTCATTAGAAACACAACTATATTTTGGACATTGTCAGACACAGCAAGATTAAAGTGGAGCATGAATGTAAAGTAATTGGAAAGTATTTCTTAAAATGCTGGCATTTGGCTTTGGTAGGACTGTAGAGAGAGACATGAAAGGCAAAGGAGAGGGGACAATGGTACATAAAAAATGGTGGTTTTACATAGAGTGAACTTCATGCACAGTCCAAAGACTTAATCATTTTCTGGATTTAATATGACATTTTACAACTTTCTAAAGCCAGATTTTGTATCTGGTAAATGTTGTTACGGCTGTATGTGTTTCCCTGTGCTGTACATCCATCTTCCTTTTCTCATCTCCTTCTACCCCAGGAGTGCTACAGCTGATTGCTGAATTAGGTCCACCTGGCCTTGGAAGGCAGTGCACAACTGTGTGCACCTGAGTTGGGGAAGTCCACAATTTCTAAATTAAGTTGGTATAAAAAAAAAAGATACAAATATATGCAAGTAGAAAGACAAGTGGTAATGTGATACAAGCACAACTCAAGCAGAGAATTTACCTCAAATTCAATGTGAATTCAAACTCATCTTCTTTAAATGGTTTGAATAATACCTATTCAAACAACAAACACTGGCTGTTTTGTTTTTTTTTTTCTTTCTTGGCAGTCCTAATGAATCCATTTGTTTGCAAGTTTTTGGTATGCAAGCCAAAAGTACATTTTCACATTCGGCTGACTTTACACGACAACACCTCAGGATGACCTAAAGAAACCACTTGGCTTCTCAAGGTAGCTCAATTGGAAAACAAACTACTACTAAACAAAATAAACAGCATATCTATCCAAGGTCTGCGAGACATTAAGTTAGTTAATAATGGTATGGTGATAAAATTCTGGAGATGTGTTAGTCCATAGCCCTCTCCACAGAATTAGGGACAAATTCAAGTCAGGTGGCCACCTGGCTGCAAAAATGACAGAGCAGGTAACCACTCCCCCTCCACCACCAGCTCTTCCATCAAGTGTGAGCAATAAGCAAAAGACAGATGATCTTCACTTGCTTGCTGTTCCTTTCAACCAAAAAGCTTGAGAGTGTTTGATTCACAATCTAACTTCCATTAATAAATAGGGCTGTGTGATATGACATATACACTATATTAACAAAACTATTGGGACGCCACTTCGAATCATTGGATTCAGGTGTTCCAATCAGTTCCATGACCACAGGTGGATACAGTCGAGCACCTAGGCATGCAGACTGCTTCTACAAACATTTGTGAAAGAATGGGTCACTCTCAGGAGCTCAGTGAATTGAAGCGTGGTACCGTGATAGGTTGCCACCTGTGCACTAATTCCATTTGTGAAATTTCCTCACTACTCTATATTCCACGGTCAACTGTGAGTGGTATTATAACAAAGTGGAAGCGATGGGAATAACAGAAACTTAGCCACAAAGTGGTAGGCCACATAAAATCACAGGGCGGGGTCAGGGCATGCTGAGGCACACAGTGTGCAGAGGTCGGCAACTTTCTGCAGTCAATAGCTGCAGACCTCCGAACGTCGTGTGGCCTTCGGATTAGCTCAAGAACAGCGCATAGAGAGCTTCATGGAATGGGTTTCCATGGCTGAGGAGCTGCATCCAAGCCTTACATCACCAAGTGCAATTCAAAGCGTCGGATGCAGTGGTGTAAAGCACGCCGCCACTGGACACTAGAGCAGAGGAGACGTGTTCTCTGGAGTTACGAATCACGCTTCTCTGTCTGGCAATCGGATGGATGAGTCTGGCGGTTGACAGGAGTACAGTACTTGCCTGACTGCACTGTGCCAAGTGTAAAGTTTGGGGGATTATAGTGTGGGGTTGTTTTTCAAGAGTTGGGCTTGGCCCCTTAGTTCCAGTGAAATGTTAATGTTTCATCTTACCAAGACATTTAGGACAATTTCATGAGCCAAACTTTGTGGAAACTGTTTGGGGATGGCCCCTTTCTGTTCCAACATGATTGCGCACTAGTGCACAAAGCAAGGTCCATAAAGACATGTATGAGCGAGTTTGGCTGAACACCTTTGGGATGAATTAGCGCGGAGACTGCGAGCCAGGCCTTCTCAATATGCTACAACAATATCTGTGCCTGACCTCACAAATGCGCTTCTACTAGAATGGTCAGACATTCTAATGAACACAATCCTAAAAGCTGATGTCCAGTTTTAGAACAGTATTTTGATGTTTTTTAAATGGAAAATCTAGTGTTTGTGGGTGTCATTTTTTTAGATTTAACATTGATTACATTTACAAGATTTTTATGTAAAATTATATTATAAAACTTATAGCTAATAGCTGCACAGTAGAGTGCAGAGTAGAGTAGAAGTTAAAGTAAAGTTAAGAGTAAAGTTTTTACAGGTGTATATGTTGTCATGTCAGTCATGGCTAATTTCCTGCTATGTAGTATATTCTATAAAATCATGAAAATGCTACAATTGTGTTTGTAGCATCACTGTCCTGTGAGAACTGTGTATCTCTAAAAGTATAAAATAAATTTAATAAATCAGCACAAACTCAATAGGGTTCTCCCGTTTTGAGGGTTTGAACCATAATTAGAGTCAGTGCATCATCGTGTATCACTACTGACTGACTGAAACCAAGCTGCAAAATTTTTGACACAGAAGAACTACAGGTAAAAATTAGCTGGAGGTTGTGTGGAGAAAATCACACACATACTAAGGTTGTAGTGAAAGACCAGGTGAAGGTCTTATAGTGGTCTGACTGACATAAAGGAAGGAAGGAAGGAGGTTGCAACAAGGGTTGGTCAATAAAAAACATACTGTTAACTGCTGGCACCAACATATGAGGTACATGTAGTACATAGCAAGGTAATATTATTCTCATATGGTGTCAGTATAGGTAGGTACTGTTGATTTGTAAGTATCATGTTTTTTTATTTATTAAGCCAAGTTGTTTTGTGCATGTCATCATGAGGCTCTAAATAACAGGAAAGATTCTGTCACAGATGGTGATGTTAAACTAGTTCAAGGTGAAGACTGCAGGTGAAATATTCATTAAACAGGATTGCCATGCCCAGTGAACCATGGCAAAACAGGCCAAAATGCTACAAATGGCCTCTTGCTATTTAACCGTTACTGAATATTAGCAATTAGGCTTGTCTGTTAAAGGAATACTGTATACTACAGTGATTGATATACCTGAACACATCTTCAGTCACCTTCATAGCACAGAATTAAACAGGCATAATGTTGGGTCGGAAATAAGGACAGGCCGGGCCGGTGGAAGGCCTGGTCCCTACCCTAACCAACTTATTAAACTCAGTAAAAATTACTCTATTAGCTTTCTTCTTTAGTCAAAAACTGCGTGGTCAAAAACTTCACTGGAGACGGTCAAGAGTCGGTGCAAAAGAGTTTATTCCAATAAAGGACAAGTAAACCCGAGTAACATCCCTGCAGGTCTCAGGATGGAACTGAGCTGGTGGTCAGCGAACTTATATTCACCTTAAACTCCACCTTCCAGGTGGGTGTTACACTTGATCTCCACCTACAGTGTTCGCTGACCACTCCCTTCCATCTAGTGGCTGTTTTTACGTACTGTTTTACCAATTTAACCCTTTCACTAATATCAAACTTTACCAGTCGGCATTAATCACAATGTGTCATGATCTCATTCTTGGCTACAGTTTGCCATGATCTCATGCCTGGCGTACATTACTTGCAGCAGGTGCCTTACTACCATTGTGTATGTCACGGTAGGCTAGGTTTTGCCTGCGCTGCCTGAACGGCTGCTCTGCTCATGTTGGCACATTGAAAAGGCACAGGTTCATGAATAACACACAGAATATAATCCTTTAAGTCTTAAGAATAAAATACTAGTTGACTTAAACACTTGAATGACATTAGTGGTCAACACCTTTACCCAGTGAGACCACGGTCATTCTTCCAATGGCTACACTACATTCACTTGTGAGTAATACAGCACTTCTAGGATATTATAATAAAGTTTTAGATAAAATATAGCAAACCAACAAAGTAAGCAAAGGAATTATTCAACAATAATCAAAAGCACATTTATAATTACATATTTTGTAGCATCCAAAATATTTTATTATCAGCCTTATTAAAAATGTCCCTATGGATATATATGCCCCCTCTCACATGAGGCTGAAGGGCTCTTATTTCCTCATTCACACAAAACATATTTTACTACATCAGTTAATATGCAAGGGCTTAACAAACAGCTGCATAACTAAATGTGAACAGTGCAAAAATGATAAAGTTTGTGGAATAGATCTGCTTCTGTGTACCAGTCCTGAAGGAGAAGCCACTTTAATGAAAACCTCAGAGCCCCAGGGCGTCTTTCTGCACGTTGCAACCCAGCAGAGCATTTCCAGCTTCCACACACTCTGTCACACATGGTGCTGGGAAAAAAAACACACAAAACAAGTCATCAACAGAGGAGACTAAATGTGGGCAAATATGTGATTTGAACATGCACACACTGTTAAAAACAGCTGATTGGCTCTTATTGTTTTGGTTATTACCATTCTGAGCACGGAGCCATGACACAGCCTTGATAGCCAGAAGCTCCCACTCTTCCTGAGCATCCATCTTGAAACCATGAAGCCAGATCAGAGCCAGAATTGTGGCCCACACTTCCTGGTTCACCTAATTCACCAAATCAAAGGGAAAACCAGAGTTTTGAGTGCAGATTCAAGGACAAAGCTCACCATTGTCCTTACACTGAGATGTGATTTGCTGCTGTTTTTGCTATAGAGCCATATTTGTTTTTGTCTAATTCTGTTTCATATGTTTTATCATAACCCACCGATGCAGGTTTTAGGTTCTCCACCTCCTTGCTGGTCTTTCCCAGTGCAGCAGCCAGAGCTGGATCCAGCACCCAACTGCCAGACGCCTTCTGGAGGGAGACCAACTGCAGCAAAGGGTCTCTGGATGGCTGCCTGGGCTCAGTGCCTGCATGCCCAGGTGAAGGCGTGTCTGAGGAGAAAATCAAAGAAAGTGTAAACATACAGTAGGTTACTACAGAGTCCAAGTAGATTCATACTGCGAGATCCAAGGTATATTCCTTTGAATGTGGATCTTTGACAGAGTTTAACGGCTTCAAGGAGATTAGGAAAAGATTGTCAACAAGCCACTTGAATGCTTACCGTTGGTCTGAGGTGAGGCACTCTGACCACCTTTAAAGTAGCCGCTGATTCTGCGGAAAACTGTTGATAGGTAGGAGATTTCAAGAAAACCATCAGGAAGTACTGTATCCATGTGTTTTGTTTGTTAATGAAATAGTTAGATTTGCTTCATTAATAAGACATAATGGATGATAATACACACAGAAAATATGTCTGTGAAGATTCTCAGTCATCCAGGTCATAGTTATTCAACGAAGGTTAAAGTCAAGGGCAACTGGACTTGGTTCAATATACTGGCCAGTATCTTCAACCAAGTCCAGTTGCCCTTGACTTTAACCTTCGTTGAATACAGAAAATACAAACAACAACATACTGCCTAAAATCTGATGATGGCATTTTTCTTAAAATGGATTTTCCCTGACAACCGCCATGTCACTCGTGCTACATGTTGATATCACGCTACGTTCTTGCCTAGTTAGTGAAACACAATGCTGGAGAGTAATTAATCAACGTCCTCATCTTTAACACTCCGTGACAATTAGTTTGTTGTATGCGTTAATGTTCTCCATTAACTGAGGAATATTGCTAAAGACGAGAAAAAAGTGTTTCTGTTTGAACTTCAGTCTCTGAACGATGCTGTAGCAACAATCTCATAGCTAGCTTGTAAGAATACTGAAAACAGTAGATTAGCAGAGAGCAGTGACTGTAAGTACATTTACTCAAATACTATACTGTACAATTTATAGGTACTTGTACTTTGAGCATTTCCATTTTTCTGATACTTTGCACTTCCACGTTACATTTCGGAGGGAAACATTGTCATTTTTACTCCACTGTATTTATTTTTCTGGGCCACAGGGTCAAGGTTCAAGAGAGGCACAAATTAGGCAAATGAGAAAGGCCCCCTGTGTCTGTGTATGTAGATGTGGCTCTCCTCCACACCTGCTGGCTTTTATCTTGTCAACACTCTGCTGAAAAGCTTCTGGTTTCCAGACACCAGCACCAGACTGTTTTATGTCTCACAACCATTGGCCTACCTGGTGTTATTGAGTTTCTTGTGGTTTTGCCTTTTCGGATTACTGACTAACCGCTTGTTTTTTTCTGCGCTGCAGTGTCTCCACACTCGGCCCGCCACGCCACTCTGCCTCCACTCTACAGCCACGCTCTTCAGGCCACAACCTGCACGTGTCCACCACCGTTACTCTACACGCTCCACTCCTCTACCTGGCTACCAAGGACCACTGTCAGCCACACTTGCCCTACCCTTTTGCATAATTCAGTTTATCATGAAAAACTAATTGTTACACCTTGTCTTTGAGTCTGTGTCTGCTCTTGGGTCCCACCACCACTCAACCCTAACACATTCGATCATTTTGTCCTGAGAGTGTCCACCAGTTTTTACAGTGTTGATTTGAAACTTTGTACTGACCTTTGAAAACACTTCTCTTCTTAACAGACTTTCCTGAAAATATTTGAGAAGTTACTAAGTGACAACATGAAGAATTTTGAAACATTTCATAAAACTTAAAAAAAAAAAAAAGACTTCAGAAGTAAATAAAATCATCAAAGACATTTCATTAAGCATGTGATTTTCCTTATTATATTTCACTACAGTAGTGCAGAGTGGATGAAGCTGATGAAAAAAATTAACAAAATCTTTTTTCTTCCTTGCTCTTGTTTTTGTTTTTACTGTGTTTTATCATTCAATTCAAAATTTGTATTTAACATTTAACTGCTTATATTTTTCTCCTTTTTACTGGGATATGTATATGATGTGGTTAGGGTTATGGTTAAGGGTTATATAATTTGATGCTTAGTGAAAGTTCAATCTCATTGCTGTCAAACCTTGAAACTTGTGTTTTATGTATTGTATTATGTTTATATTATATTCAGAAATATAAAAACTATGTTAAAAAACAATTAAACTTTTACCACATACCAGCCGACTTTTCGAATGGATCACTCAAACTGCAGTCACTGTAGCGAATCTCCACTTTGAAGTAAAAAAAGAAAAATCCAGAAGACTTTGTAAACAAAAAACAGTAAACCTTCATGTAAGGCCCAATTGGGCGTAAGATGAACACGTAATTTAAAACAAAAACAAAAAGCTCAGTGCTACATCTGGACTAACACTATGCTTCATAAATTAGTACTATGGTAGTACTTAAAAGCAAAAAGTAGCCATTAAAATATTACATTATTATAAACAAACACACAATATTAAGTATTTCAGAATCAATGAAACGTAAAACGCTGTGGATGACATATTCATTCCTAATCTTGGAATAACACTCACTGGGTGGTGAAACATTTGCCTGCTGGACAAATAGTATTTCAAATAAAAGCCTCAAATTAGTTGTTTTGTTTACAAGGATTTACTGTATTTTTAGAATATTGAAAAATATGGGTTCCACTTCCATTCCAGTTTTTACTTACAGCTACAGGTATCATAAACTGTTGAAGGACACGATAGCATCCTACTGCTACTCGAACCTTTGGAATAAAATAAATAAATAAAGTATAGGGTCAAGCCATTACATGATAATCGTTAAACAACAAATATGATCTAAACAAGCAGTTAAAAAAAGTACTTTCAATATTTAAGTTTTTCAAATATTCACTATTCAAAAGTTTTTACATACAAACAGACATGTGAACGCACTGTGAGCAAAGCACAAATGCTAGCTCTTATAACCAATTAAATGCTATTATAACAGTCATTAAATGATTAAGGATTGTCTTAATGTTAAACGCTACATCATCGTGCTTCTCTACGCCATTCGGTCAAAGCCCTTTCTGACATGACAGTGCCAAGATTACTGGGCTAAGCAAGGGAGGCTGGTGAGGAACTTCCTAACACATTTCATGCACTTAAATAACAAATAAATCACAAATTGACATGAGGGATGCTTTATGTCTAGCAACACCCCTGGTTTGTAATGTCTGTTTCAGCAACTCTCCAATGGAGGCTGACCTCATTTATTATTTAAGGTAGTTTTTTAGTTAAGAGTGTTAATTTTGGGCCTGTACAAAATAGAAGAACACCTACAATATAAATAGTATTTTAAATTAAAGCTGGACAGTCTAGTACAACAAAGGCTGGGCCTCCTCTCAGCCATTTTGATGTTACCAGAATCACTACTAGATTCATCTCCTGCACACTAAAGGCCAATTTATACTTCTGCGTCGAGTCTATGCCGTGGCCTATGCCATCGTGAGCATTTATACTTGTGCTGGTGTCACTCTGCAATTACATTGCCAAAATGCTAGTTTGCTGTGGGGTGTTAATTTCTGCCAGCCGAGTCAAAAAAATGTATCCACCGTTTTAGAGCCACGTGCAATGCTACCAATCACAGTTCTTGTGGTCTGCGTCGCCGTGACATGTAGTTACATTTTTGGGGAGATGCACATCAGGCAACGCAAGTCGTAGGGGACACGGCTACACGTAGGCTACGGCACAGGTTCAATGCTAAAGAATATATTTGCCTTAAAGGGATCAATTAGGGGAATTGGGGGAAACACGTAAGGGCCATGGCCGGTGAGAGAAGGCAGTGCAGGGAGCAAGGATGCCAAAGAAAATCTTGACTCTGCATTTGCGTAGGGATAAACCCTACATCTACATCTTTTAGAGGGCACAGCCTGTACAAAATAGAAGAACGCCTACTGTACAAATAGTATTTTAAATTGAAGTTGCAAATGTGTTGTTTTGTTTACATTGATTTACTGTAGTTTTATAACATAGACATGTGGTCCACTCCCTTTCAGCTTTTTACTTACCATTCAAGCTGCTTTGAAGAACACAGGGCCTGGAACGCACACTACAGTCCTGCAGAGCTTTGGGATAAAAAAAAAGAAAAGGGTCAAGCCATTACGTGATAATTATTAAACAAAAAATATTATTTTAACAAGCAGATAAAAATGTTCTTCATAATATATATATAAACATTTATTTTAAATATTCAAGTTTATCAAATAGTCAATATTTCTTTACATACAAACAGACATGTAAAGAGATGTGAACACGCAAACTAGGGGTGTGAATCTTCAGTATCTCACAATTAGATTTAAAATCGATTGTAGATTCAGTATGTACAGGTACTAATTTCTGAATCTACTCCAGTCCACTTTGTGCTAAGACAGGTGGTGTGGCAAATTATGGCATGAAAGCAGCTCAGGGGGATGGTGTAAGATGTGAGCCCGAGGATTTGTAGTGTTCCCGAAGTACTTAACTATATAAAGAATGACCATATTTTCTAACAGGTTAGGTTAGCACCCACAGCCTGTCTGCAACTACAGTATGTGATACAGGCTGAGCCTCCCCTTAAAGGAAGGTGGCCTTGTCGGTAACCTGCGTGTGTGTTGTCTGCAGACTAGAGGAGCATCCCAAGTCTCTTAACTGCATCCATGTTTCCCTCACTTGAGTCATTTCCAACCATGTGAGGAGAGGAGAAACGATCAAATATGTTTTTAGAGAAATGAGACGAAAATTAAAATCTTGCTAATAAATGAAGAAACTTGTTTTGGTCCTTTTGTTGTTCAGACCTACGATGAAAACAGATCAAAGAGGGAGTGTGGGAGAGTGATACACTTGAGTTTAATCTGTCATCTGTCTCCGGAATTAAACTGCAGTGATGTGATATATCTGATCAATCCGATCAGCTGCAGCGTCCAATCAATAATGGATATTCAATAAAGGGGAGTATGTTTCAGTAAAATACTTCTGTGTGAAGGGTGGCCTCGTGTATCCTTGCTCATGGCTCCTCAGAGATTGCTCCTCGTTGTACAAATAGGAGCTTTGGGACAGTCTGCAAGATGGTGGAGCAGAACAACTCCCGGTCAAGTGACGAACAAGAAGCAAGGAAACGTAAAATAAGAGACTTGAGATGCACCTTCTGTTTGTTGTGGCAAGTGATCCCAATGCTATGCAAATATATATATATATTTTGTTCCCTCTCTTCAACAAATTAATTATGAAGAGACTGTTTCACATGCTCATAATAAAGCATGTGCTGAAGCGTGTACGTCCCAGCAATTGATCCACATCCATCAACCTCTGGTGATTTTTCTAGAAGAGGTTTCCATTCAGGCGTATTACAGAGACGGACTGTTTTTGTTTGAAGTAGTAGTGAGAGCAGTGTAGCGTCAGGTGTGTCTGCACAGCAATGGTATTTTAAATTAAAGCTGCTGTTGGGACCAGGACAGTCTAGTAGAACAAAGGCTGGGCCTCGGCCTGTTGAATTCCCAAAAGCCTGAGTCAGAGTTAGTTTCAAACAAAGGACAGTAAAACAGGCGCCAAGGCCCAATTCACACCTAGGTGCGAAATAGTGAGTCAGACCTAAAAGCAGAGCCACTATTGGCGTCCTCCCTTCCCAAAATTTGAGTCGACTGGACTGTTTCCACCCGCTGCTGCCGCTGGAACAGTCGCCGTGAACCCGCTATCGAGCGGCACCCTGGCCTCGCCAGGATCCGATCCGAGAAATACCTCCGACGGACACATTCCCACTGAGAACTGCCATTATCATTTTCACTACCAAGAGCGACCTGAGTAAGAGGCTTAACTAAAGTATATATAATATAGACGTAATTTTATTGGTTATGTGCTGAGCTTTATGTTGATTGTGGATTTATGGGCCGCCGCGTCCGCTGTTAGATATTGCTGTTTAAGTGCTCAAGCACACTGTGTTAGCATCATCCCGGCCACTTAACTGACCGGGGTTTTACAGATTTCAGCCGTCTGTGAAAGTGATCGCTAAATATCCTTTATCAGAGTCAAAGGCCAAGCCTGTGCTAGTGAACGCTCCATGCACTAGTGGGTCTCGTCGATTATCGGTAGTTACGACACTATTACACAGCCTGAATTTCTGCTTGTGATTCTGCTGTGACTCTGCCCAAAGTAAAGCCAGCATCCGCCCATTGAGGATAACTCATTGTGTATGCTGTGTGGCAGGGTGTAGTTACGTTGTAATTCACCGTGATAATTAAACTCACAGACATTATCTTGTATGATCTCACTGTTTTCCCTGCTTTCCTTGAACTAATCACTGTATACACTCACTTGCCACATTATGAAATGATTTTCTTAATGTTAAGCAGAACATGATCATGCCTCTCTACACTATTATTCATGGTCAGCTATAGTGTCTCTTAAGTAGAGGGTGACTTTTATTTACACTCACTGGGTGTTGGAACGTTTCTGCGCACCAGAGGTCCTTGAATCGCCTCGCCGTCGCCTTTGTTGACAGCAATGAAGGCAGTGAAGGAACTGCTCACTCCTGATTGGACACTGAGCTCCACCACCTTCTCCTTCACTCCTCCATCTTGCTGTCCTCTGCGGCCTCTCTCCTCCACCTCCAGGGAGCGAATCAGAGTCCGAGCAGCCAACCTGTGGACCGTTAATCTGTAGACAGGAGAGAGGAGGAAACACAGGTGAATCTTAAACGTAATGAACAAATTTCTGATATGCATACTCAGTTTTAGGAGATTTTCTTTTTGGGGGGGGCAAATGTACGCAATTTCTCTCGCAGTATCCAAGATACTACAAAAAAGACTTTTGAGCGATTCTCTAAACTCACCTGGAAGTAGGGCTGCAAGATTTGGAGAAAAAGTCCTATTGTGATTATTGTGGACAATATTGCGATTCGATTACAAAGGAACAAATGGTACTACGAGTCTACTTGCTTATTTATCAAGGAATGCACGAAATACATTTTGAAATGTGTATTTCTCAACTTGGGGGAGCGCGTTGCTCTACGGAGGAAGTGGCTAGAAGCAGCACATATTAGCACACTGGCACCGGTTCAATGTACATCAGTCTAATGCAGTCTCTATCCATCACCAGGAGGAGGAACTGTACATGAGTGTATTAAATAAAGAGTATAATGTTTAGTTATTAGTATACTGACAGTATAACAATAATCTACTACATTCATTATAATTAAATGTAATATATATATATTTTACCACTATTTAGGGGGAGTTAAGGTAGGTTGTTGTTATAAAAATTACTGGCACACTGCTCAAATATTTTTTCTCATTGCATGTAGGCTTATCAGTTTTTAGGGGCATGAAACAGGAAGTTGTTTTTAACGCCACTGTACTATTCAGTTATAGTCATATCACCATTACTGACAGACCACAGAAAGTAAGCTCCAAATACACTTGAAGTACCGCAATGTGACGTTTAATTACCAGGGGCTCTCTAGGGCCACATAGGGGACACGTGACTATTCAGAGCCACGTCGGCAGGGCCTTTCCAAAGCTGCTTGCAGCTTTATAATTACTGAATTTAACCATAAACTATATTGTAAATTCACTACCCAGTCCATAGCACTTGAAGCTGTTTTACCCAAAGTCCTCTGCAGGTCTGAGACTGAAGTGGAGCTGGTTCTGAGAGGGATGACCTGCCAGGCTGTACTTCACCGTCACACAGCCCTCTCCTGCCTCTGAACTCTGAGAAAGCATTAGTGTTAGAAACCATGTGTGTTAATGTGATAACATACCAGATGGAAAAGAATAATAGGTATTTCACTGTGAGATGGTGCTGCTCCTACCTGTCCGGTGAGCTGGGCATAAATCAGTGACCTCTGACCCTGGAAAAGTGCTGTGATTGGTGGAGAGAGGACAGTGGCAGACACTCCCTTTGGCAAATCCCACGTGACTGAGATGTCCACCACAGCTGGCTGCAGAGCAAATCGCAGCGACTGCATCACCTGGTGGGAACAAAACACAAAGTCATGAACGGGCACTGGGTCTTTACTAACTGGAACCATGATTTCTGTCTGAATACAACTTTTGTTGCATAATTTAATATAGAAGTTTTTATGTTTTTAATGTCTTTCTTACTTTGGGTTGCATCCTGTCAGTCCCTGTGATGAACTGAGCGTGACCTCCTCCTTCCTTGGCCAACCCATTGATAAGAGCAGAGCTGGCCCCTTCCCCAATCCCAAAAGAGAAACACCTACAATACAGTAGTTTTGTTTTTAACACACACAGCACAACAACATGGGCCAAACTCTGCTAATTGTTGTGTTTGTTGTGTTCTGTGTTTTTGTGGCCTCACCTGTGGGAACCTGAATTCTTCTTCACCAGATTCATAATGTCTTTGGTGTTCCACACCTCTCCATCAGTGAAGACAAATAGCTAGAGGAGGAGAGTTTGCATATCACTCAAAGCAGGGTGCGAACTATGGGGGAGTCAGGCGGTGTGTGTGCACGTGTGTGTGTGTGTGTGTGTATATATCACCTGTCTAGGATGATTGAGTATGCAGGGCTGACTGTAAATGTGTTCGAGGGACCTCAGGATCTCTGTTCCTCCCAGATCAGCGCCCATCTCCTCAACTTTCTTCAGAGCCTCTTCCATGGTCTTCTGGCTGTACTCCACACTCTTACTGCCATCACAAACACATGCAAGAACAATAACACCAAAGACAGGAATACATTTTTTACACCGAGTGACATGAGTGACTTACGGGAAGATGTGTTCATAGCTGGACCCGAAGCTGTAGATGTTGAAATAGCAGCCCATTGGTAAGCTTTTCAAAAGGAGCAGCAGAGTATCCTTAAAGGGAAGAGAGAAAAGATAGTGAAGGCCACTGTGTGAGAGGGACACTGAATGATTTTATTACACAATGTACACATGATGGTTACCCTGGCACTGCCAATGCGAGACTGATCACTACTGCTGTTGTTCATAGAACCACCCATACTTCCAGATCGATCCAATAAGAACACAAACTCTCCACATGAGGCGACTGAAGACATCACAGCCTGGGGGAACTCAGGGTACAGGCTCAGCATCACCACTGGATCACCCATCAGAGTGCCTGAAACACAGACGAGAGACAGAAAAATGACCACAAATATGGATTTCACTATTTATTCCAACATCTGTAACTCATCCGTTGGAGGAGGATGAATGTTTCCTTTGCAAAGTAACAACTTCACTAAAGTTTACTCACCAGGCTTGGCAGAGGTCTGTCCTGCCTCCACCACAGCAGTGGGCTGGTGGGCATCTTTGTAATAAATCAGCATTTCAACATCTCTGTCAAACTTGTGTCCTGCAGCCAACTTCACCTGCAGATCACAAAACACATTTATACCTATACATTTGGCTGGGCAATAAAACAATAATGATAATTATTGCAATATAATTTTCCTCAATAACAAAATAACAAATGTTAAAAAAATGTTCAAGTTCATTTTTCTATTAATATTTATTATTATTATTAATAATATTTATTTTGTTGAGGAAAAGGAACTGAAAAAAGATTTTACTTAACTTAACTGATGCATATTTGTTGAAAAAGATTTTATCATTATAATTGTTTGTAATGTTTTACCCCAGATTTATGAAGTGATCCACTGTTTGGCAACAAGTGTTTGTCATGTTTTGACCATAAAGAACACTTTAAAACAACAATTAACCGTCTGGTTTCTTCAACTTTTACTCAGGAGCAAAAACGAGCCTTTAAAATTGAAAGAAACAACGATTTGGCATTTATTATGATAATTATCAGTATCGAATGACAGTAAATTTTTTATCGTGATAACATATTTGGCCATATCGCCCAGCCCTATGTACAAATAAAGTGCTATTTCTTGTATTGAGGAACAATCCAACAAAACGCACATTAGACATCTCTACCTACCGTGGCCTGGGTTTGCTCTGTGTTGAGGTACTGCAGAGGGTCCAGGGAACAGTTGGACTCTACTTTAGAGACTGGACGAGGAGAGGACACTCGGGCAGAGAAGGACAGACTGTAGGGCACCAGAGAGGCTGGAACAGCAGTCACCTGGACACCGGCACCTCCACTGCCTGTAAAGAACATGAGAGAGGTTTGAAATTATGTCGTTAAAGAGGCGCCACACAATGAAATCACTGAGAACCTTTGGTCCAGATGACATTCTGGTTGACACGAGGCAAATAAAGTCTTCTGCTGAGGAAATTACATGTGGCCTACATCCAAAAAACATTTTTCAGCTGCTGGACTTTGAAAGACCAACAATAAATATGACAGCATAGTGACGCCAAATGAAGCTTTTCATATCCATCTCTTAATTTAATGTATAACAGAATGTAATTACTTTATTCATTATATTACTTCTTAAGCTCCTTAAAAGTTTGCAATTATGTCATATACTACATTCATCTCAGTCTTCTTACAAATATTTTACAAAGTTCAGAAGAAGTTTATTTTTATTGTAGATTTATCTGTTTTCTTAATTAATCGATTATTGTTTGGTATACAATGTCAAAAAGTGAAATAGTGAAAAATGGCGATCTGTGTTTGCCAGAACTCTGCCTTATATCTTTGCCCAGTTCTAGAAACTGGTCTTAGTACTGAATCAACTCCTGGCCATATTTGATGTTGGAGTGATAAAATTATGTACAGTGTTACTGCATTTACCACCTTGTTGGCAAGACAGCTAATTCAATAACAATAACATGCATCCCCTCCCACACACAGCAGATGGGTGAAAGACGTGATGCTTCACATCAAACTGGAAACTGTATATCTCTGTGAAGAAGTTCACCTTTTGTAGCCTATTATAACTGACTACAAATGTCAGTTTGGGATGAGGCTGACAGCTGCACAGTGATATAATGATTTCTCAAAAGTTAAGCAATGGTGAAACCAGTGGTGTAGTCAAGTTTTTTGTAGTGAGTATACTGTGATTTTTCCCTCCCAGCATCAAACTCACCCGTTGCAGAGCACCACTACACTCACTAATGCATACAGTATACATCTACGTGTATTCGAGGGAATTCTGAAGGACTGCTTATTTGTTATCAACATGTCAGATGATTATGAGCAACACAGGAAATAACCATTGTCAAACTGTGTGTGTGTGTGTGTGTGTGTGTGTGTGTGTGTGTGTGTGTGTGTGTGTGTGTCTGGGACAGCAGCAGAAGTAGAAGTTCCTGGATGCTTTCTCATGCATTTAAGCTGAGTACATAGCCCCAGTTTGACAATGGTTTAGGAAGATAAGTATGCTTGGGAAGATGTGGACCACTTTCTGTGTCTTCACTGTAATATATTCTGTAATAAATGAGTGTTGGGACACAAATGTTCATTTTTAATACTGCTAATGATATGCCTCAGCCATACATTATTGTTAATAATAGTTGCAACTTGATCTCTTAAATGTGCATTGAAAATTGTTAGCTGACAAAACCTGTGCTGCAGGGACCATCTTCATATAACATCTGAAAGAATAAATGTAGCTCTTAACTGGCTGAGTAAGAAAGCGATTAACACTGAACTGTAGAAAATCAGTCCAGTCTCCCTAACTGTAAATATCATTGGCTTGTGTTGCTCAGAAGATAGTTGACATGTTGATAACACATAAGCAGTCTTTCAGAATGCCCTCGAATACACGTAGATGTATACTGTATGCATTAGTGAGTGTAGTACAACTCTTTGTACTTTACAGTACACATCAGTGTTGTTAATTATTTGTAATTATAAGTCATTTATACGAGAGTGCCGCTCTGGGACAGGTGAGTATGAAGCTGGGAGGGATGAATCACAGTATACTCACTACAAAAAACTAGACTATACCACTGCTTGTAAGACCCAATCTGTCTGCACTAATATGCTACCCCGGAGTTTTAACGGGATCAACAGCATTTTCAAACTTCACCGTTTTAGGCATTTGGATTTGCCAATTTAGCCTAGATGGCAGGCGCAAACGTAGCATTAGCTCAGCGTCTTTAAATGAAAACATAGTAGTGTGGATGTAGCCTTAAACTTGATGTCATTATCTAATATATTTCCTCTGTATCTGTTTTTTTGTATGTGGCAGCCACATGACTGGTTATTGTCCACCCATCAGCACAACTGGCAGGCTGGAAGACCATTAACGTTTGCCATTAAAGTTTTGAGACAATGTGTTCTGTCAGTGTTGTGAAGGTGAGGTTTTGACTGTCACTGGTGTAGGTAAGGGTTCCACGTGAAGGTGTTGGCTGGTGTTCCTACCCTGAGGTTGGTAGCGAGGGTTGAGCACAGCAGGCAGGCAAAACCGCAGCCCGTCATCAGCCTGCACAGCCAGCTCAGTGACGTACTCCAGCCTGATGGAGGCGCTCTCTCCTGGAGGCAGACTGCCCACACTCAGAGAGAATACATCTGGACTCTGATCACTCTCCTCCAATAGGAAAGCCTGCTGACCTGAGCTCAAAGCGTCATCATACTCCTCCCGAGCCTGAAGTGCAGATGACACATGTGAGGAACATTCACTGTGATTTTAAGGAACACCGTAGTGAGTAAGTCTTTACTGTCCAGCTCACCTCCTGCTTCTCCTTCACCTCAGCTACAATCTGTGTCTGTCCGATCTTAGCGCTGAAATGACAGACAGCAGCATCTCCAGGCAGAGGGAAGACAAAAACAGCCTCCAGTGGTTTGTCCTCCTTGTTCTCATAGTTCAGAGTGGAGACCACTGTAGCCACATGGTCCCTCACCTCCACCTCCACCTCCACACTCTTCAGAGGAACTGACAGTGAAACAGAAGCAAGCACAATGACGATAATACCGTTATTTCAAATAGTTAAGGATACTGCTTAAGGATTCATTTTAGCCACAGTAGAGCTGTACCTGATGACCAAGCTAATAGCTAAACCTGCCTCTGTCTAATGGTGTGCAAAGCAGGATACAGTTATGTGCTCAAAATCCATTACAGCCAATATAAGCCTTTACATTTGAAGTTTACATGAGTACAAAAGGTCAATGAGGAAATTACCTAGTTCCTTCTGGACAGTTAGCAGACCACAGCAGTTCACCATCGTACCTGTAAAACAATTAACAAGCACATTTGAAGACTTCTTGCTGTAGTGATAAATGTTGATGACAGTTGCTGTACATTCTGGTTGTTCTTCAGGAGTCAAAATAAGTCATACAAAAACAATTCCACAAAAAAGATTAATCATGTTCATTTATAGAGCACTTTTTAAAATTCATGTTACAAAGTGCTTCACAACAGCAGTACAAAATAAAACACAAAAGTTGTAAAACGATCAGGTTATAAAAGAAAGTAGATTAAAACCAGAGCTGTTCCAGCGCTCTGTCCCCTTTAGTTTTCAGCAGGAACAGACATCAGTCCTCTGCCCGAGGATCTCTAAATATGTGCTGGAAGTACAGAAGGGCTGGTGCAATGCACTGGCAAGGGCCTACGAGTTACAGCAACAACTGCCACGTGGATCATGCTTAGACGTCGTCATACATTCATTCGTAGTGTGTAGGCATAATGAGTTGCTGTGCTTTTCTTAATTTGTTCTTTGGTTAGTGACATACTGTGTCAGCTACTGTCTGTTGATTTGTTACTGTAGGCTGGCAAAAGTTATTACAGTTGTTTGGTAGTTGGAGACAGCAGACTGTGGTGGTTTTAGTCGAGGGCAGGCTCCGGCTGCTGTCCGTGGTGCTGATCAAAACACTGCAGGTTTGCAATATTTGCACCGGGGTCACAATTATGTTACGCTGCTGGTAAGAGGTCACATATATAGCAGGGAGGGAGGCCAAGAAGAGCCTTAAAAGTATTCAGTAACATTTTTAAAATCATGTGTGATGATGCTAAAACAGATGTGTTGGGATCATGTTACATGGTTCTGGTTAAAAGCCTGGCAGCTGAGTCCTGAACAGTCTGGAGGCAATCAATAGATATTTGGGCTGTTGCAGTAATCCAGGCATGATGAGATGAAGGCAAGTAAAATGCTCTCAGTGTCTTTAAAAGTTAAGATAGATGCTCAACGCTTAAATTTCTGTCAAACAAGACACCAAGATTTATTGTTTATCAATAGGCTTGATCTAATTAACTAGGGAACCAGCAGATGGCAGAACTGGCCATTTCCTGATAACCTAATAACAAGATCCTCTGTTTTGTCTGAGTCCAGCTGGAGAAAATGTTTTAACATCCAATTTTTCAGCTGTGCTAAGGTCCAGTAGTACAAGGAGTGAGCATATGCCATCAGCAGCAGCCATTAAAAGGTTGTTGGTGACCTTAAGCAGGGCACTCTCAGTTTTCAGAAATATGAAATTGTTTGGACACCATTTTCTAAAATGTTTTATATAAAAAGGTTATATGGAAATTGGTACATATTTTTGAGTGAGGGAGAGATCCAGCCCAGGGTTTTTTTTTATTCGGGACACTGTTAAAAACAGAAAGCAAATACATTAATGTTACTTCTAGTATAAACATGGAGCACACTCATTTGTAACACTGTTTCTAAAAGCTAGGTAAAACAAGGTAACGTTAATGGGGTAAAACTGGTTGGGATGGGAAAAGATACATCAGAATGTATTTTAACATAAGATACCAAATACCCTAGTTTTAAGTGTATCAAAATAAACTATAAAATACAGCAGCCATGCCATGTATCAAAATAAACAACTGTAATTTTGTATTTATAAAATAGGCCTACTAAAAACACATAAAATTACTTGCAAACCTTTTATATTGGTGTATTTGATCTATTTGTTCAACAGTGGATAGTGTTTGACATCACACGGTAATTTTATCCTAGTTACTTGGTGTTTGGTAATGAAGGGCCTAATTTGCATCATCTGAGTTACAACAAACACAAGTGGTGGATGGTGTTGACAACCTGCTGTTTGACAGTGTTGCAGCCACACACTGTATATAAAAAGATTGCAGCACAAAGTTGTAAATGACAATAAGGCCCAAGTGCCCACACCATCTTGTGGAATTATAAAGTAACTATGAAATGCTTTATTATTTTTTTCCAACCAACTTAAACTAGTATTATAACCATGACAACAATTTTACATGTTTTCATTTAATAAATGTGCTGCAAAAATCACCAACGTTACAAACAAGCTGTTATTAGTACTAATAATATACATTAATAATAAAATATATTGATAATTGTTATTAGCTATTAGTGTTATTATAATCATCATCAGTAATATTGTTATTATTAAGGTAGTAATTATTAATTATTATAAAACACAACGTTGTATGACGAAAACAAAGTTTGTAGATAGTCCCTTCATGCCAAACACAAAGAACTTAACAGATAATCAAATGTGTATTAAAAGATGGTAATAAAACAATACATACGGCTACAAAGGCCTACACGTATATACCTCATTCTGCAGCGCATTTTTTAAAATTCTGTCTGAGGTGAATGGTAACAGCAGCAACAATATGATAATATGTTTTCATCTTCACAATAAAAAGTCTGACATTCGGGAAACAGTGTCCATCTTCACTGTGCTTGAGCACCAAGCATCATCACCTAACTGCACCTTCATCGTCCGTCAATCAAACCATCACTAATCAGTGAAAATGATTTCTCCTTCTCTGCTCCGCCCTTCCTGGATCAGTCTCCGGCTTCATTTCTTTCTTTTTTGTTGCTTATTAGTAATCATCTGTTTATTTGTTTTCATAAGTATAGGACTTTACTGAGGAAATCAATCAATTTAAGACGATCCCTGGCGGTTAATTAGCTATAGCGCTTCTGCTAACCAGTGCGTGCGTCATCTTGGACCATTTAAAAACACACACAGCAGAATAATGCCTACCTCTGAGGATGTATTTGCGTCCGAGACAGTTAGTTTTACAGCAGTTCCCTCTTGTAAATACGTGGAGACAACTTGCAGGTTGATAAAGCAGCAACACGTAACTCATAGAAAAGTGAAAGTCACGCCTACCGGGTACGATTTGATTTCCTTACAAAATAGGCTGGGTGGAGTTTTATGGAGCTAAATTAAGGCCAAATGTTTTGTTAATTTGAAAAAAGTAATTGCAATCGAAAAAACTAAAACTTGAGTTTTTGTACAACCATGTACTCAAACTAAAAATAAGTTTGCCAATTTTTTTTTCAGTTAAAATAAAATATTGATTTATTTCTGGAAGTATTTTGAAGAAATTATTTGTTTTTTATTTTTCACTTTTCCATATTTTGATATTTTAGGACTTAGGACTAGAATTTTTCAGTTCCACGTTTTATGTTTTCAAAGTCAAAGCTTTTTTTTTTTTTTACAGCTCCAGATCTTTTTTTTTTACTTTCAAATCTATTTTTCAGTTTCAGATCAGTATTGTTCAGTTTCAGACTTTTGCGTGGGGGGCGTGGTTTCAACGGAGAGGGGCGTGGAATCATGAGTGACAGTCTAACAAAGAAGGACGAAGACTCTCCTCAGTCATGTTGCCTTCACGAAACGTAGGCACTGCGAGAACCATGGCTCAATTCTTTCTATCCACCATATGCATGTGATTGGCAGTAAACAAACTAATGCCAGTGGCTAAGTTCCCTTTAAAAAGCTGTTTTGGACAATACGTGGGACCAATTACACTATACGAGCAATAAATTGTGCCAGTTTGTGCAGTTCAGCAGCGACACTTTAAGAATGAACTTCTCCCACTTACACATGCGACCATGAACGCACCGCTGTATTCACTCGCCATGGCGTCCGCAGCGCCAAGGCAACCCGCTGGCGCCAGTGCACAGGTAAGACAGGTGAAATATATGGGCCGTTTAGAATATATTATTTGGTGACATTATCCCACAGTGGCTAATTATTTATTTATTTATCGTAGGGACACACATAAAGGGAAAATGCGTTTGAGTTTGTCAACTGGACAAAGCTGGAAATGAAGCATCGCTTGGATTAGCATGAACTAAGTTAGCTCCATCCTACTAAAGCACAGGAACTAGTTACTCATTTCAGTAACTAGCTCAAGTTGTTTTATGCCTTTAACGTGGATTTTCTTTGTTAACCTCTGTTTGTCAGAATGTCGACCATAACTCGACAGTGGCTGCAGCCGCACAGAGTCTTATAAACCTAAAATATATAGATAACGACTGACTTTATGTTAGAAACGTATTGCCTTTTCATGGTTAACTTACTTTATGTTACATAGCATAACGTTAACCTTTCCAATCCTCTTTGATAGTGTATTCTGATACATAAGTTAGGCTGTGTTCTTAGTTTGCCCACTTTGCATATTTTGTAAGGCACAACTGTCATGCTGTTTGTTACATGTATGTGAGATGAAGTAATTTAATAATACTAATAACTAATAGTAAAAGTAATTTAATGTGGCCAGTGCATTAATGTAATATCATATTTGTCTATTTTAGGAGCAACTGAAAACAGACCTTCTTCACAGACTTCTGAGGAAAATTTCCCAGGTCACACAGAGACTCCCGATGGATGTGGGCTATTTGCAGTTTGTTTTAGGTCATTGTCAGGCCAAGTTGAGATGCCACAAGATGTTGTAAATGCATTGAGAGAGCTGTCAATACTTGTCAATGCAGAGGACAGCTCTAATATGAGTCTTTGTCAGGTGCCACTGTTGCAAGCAGAAATGGGACGGCCAAAATATGTTGTGTCACATCAGCAACTACAAAGCCTGGTAGAAATGTCCCTACCAGTGTCATGCATTGCAAAACTTCTGGGTGTATCTGAGAGGACAGTGAAACGGCGCATGCATGAATATGGCCTTTCCATAATGCAGTATTACAGTACCTTAACTGATGAACAACTTGACAATTTGGTGAGGTCGGTGAAAGCCAGGACACCACATGTAGGGTGCAATTGGAGTACTCTCAAGACTGACAAGGTTGGGGTGTGTTGCAAGAAGGACTTATTCTGTCCAGGGTCCTCTGCACTTGGTGCATATCGACACAAATCATAAGCTCATCAGGTAGGTCATATATTTTTGCTCAGTATGATAAATTAAAAATGAAAACATTAATATTCCCCCAAAATTTCCCACCACATTTTTAACACTGTTGTTTTGCATCAGCAAAGAAATTTACACAAGTACTACATCAAACTGATTCAGTGTCGTCTTCCCCAACAGATATGGCCTTGTTATTTTTGGAGGGGTTGATGGCTTTTTACGAAAGGTATGATGACTACTAAATGAGATTCAAAATGACAGACGTGATTCTACTTCTTGTTATAGGTTTGAAAAATGAAATGCTTTCATTTAATTTCCAGTGAGTGATATTCTCTTCTTCAGATCATGTACCTAGGTGCTGCGACCAATAATAAAGCATCCACTGCACTTGATTTCTTCTTTGAGGCAGTGCAGAAGTATGGCTTTCCATTAAGGTAAGACCAAGTGTGGTTCACTGTGGTACTTCCTATCTCAGTCATTTGTGTATCAACTGCTTGTTAAGGATGTACATGGTTTTCCATTTGACAGTTCTCAAACAAATGGTATACTGGTCATGAGCACCAGTATTCTTCATTTGACCAATGTTTTGTCCAGTAAGATGACCATAAACAAAAGGCATTTTAAACAATTAAAATGCCTTTATTATAATGGCATGGTCATATAAGAATTAAAATGCGTGCTAAAACACATTTTGGTATCAAGCTTCCATCAGGGACTCCCTGATGCCAAAGCACGTTTAAGTGGGCATTTAAATTTTGTAAATACCATTACAATAAAGGCATTTTATTTGTTTAAAAGAGAGTGCTTTGGATTTTTTTGTCTTGTATTTTATAATACATAAAGATGTTAGAAGTTAGCATATCTTCTATTTTTTTGAAACATTTAATGATGCATTTTTATTTAAAAACTTTTTATTTATTTCTTTATGTGTGACGGTTTCTTTTTAGAGTAAGAGGTGACCAAGGAGTGGAAAACGTTGGTGTTGCGTGATGCATGTTCACCATTAGAGGCTGTGGAAGGGGGAGTTTCCTGTCAGGAAAGAGTGTACACAACCAAAGGTATGTTTTCTTTATTGCCTGTGAAGTGGTCACACACATCCAGAAGCCTCAACAACAAACAACACAAAACATGAAGCAAAGGTCTGCACACTCTTCCAAACTCTCTGGGCACTTAATATTTACCAGATCCAAATGTGAAAAAGATGGTCAAAACAAAGAAACCACATAAAACACCTAACATGAAAGGCACATAACAGGGCAAGTATTAAACTCTTCTAAATAAGTCAGATCCACATAGATCAAAAGAAATGTATATCTGACTGGAAGCCATAATATATTTAATATAGCTAGGTCCAGATATCACTAGATAGTGTGCTTTTCACAGCCTGTGAGGCGGTTATGTATTTTATATGGTTTCTTGATTTTACTGTGTTCTTACCACTGGACAGAGTTAGGTTGATATCTGTTTTTACTATTCTGGTGCGGTTTAGAATCTCAAACCAGTTTAATTTGAACTAACAGGTGGAACCAGCTCTTCTGTTTATTTGTTGTCATCGTTCAGTGTCACTTTGGAGAGCATCTGCTGCGTTCAATGTGACATCTAAAGGTTCGGTTTGGTGTTTGGCTGAATATCAAACCAGTTTGAACCGACCCACTCCTACCACTGGATCATGTCCTAGTATGTGACCAGAGTATTAACAATGGCATCTTTATATCCGTCTTCTAGTCTAGGGAAGAGCATTAGCTTGAACTTTCACTTACGGTTGTCCAATAAATTCATCTAAATTGGGCTACCTTTGTTCCATGTTCCATTTATTTTTTACACAAGTTCAAGTGCAAGTTCAAATGTACTGTACCCACTTGAAGATAAATTGATGTTTTCTTTTAACAGAATAGAACGTTTGTTGCGAGATGTTTGGATGACTGTTTCCAATGTGCACTACGAGATTCTTCACAGCCTTGAGGATGAAGGTGTTCTAGATCCTTCTGACAGCATCCATCTTTTCTGTGCCCAGCATGTGTTTCTTCCACGTCTGCAGAGGGATCTCGATGTCTTCAGGGTGGGGTGGGATAATCGCCCTCTGAGAACAGAGCAGAATCTGTCCCCGCAACAACTGTGGATGATGGGGCTCCTCCTGAATCCTGTTGATGCTCCAGACCTGACAGAGGTACTAATTACATTTTGTTTGTATTGATTATTACAGTTGTTTCATTTAATAATAAAACACAACCATTGTGTTAAAAATATCTGTACAACACTGTAAAGAAATCCCTGAAAACTAATTTATAAAAACTGATTTTATGTGGTTTCCAATCATCAGTATCAAATTAATGAAAGTGATAACAGAGCTAATTCTTTCCAAATTCACATTGCAGAGAATTTGAATGTTTACTAATATCAAAGTGCTTAAAATGGTTTAAAAGCTGAACAACAGCTTAGGTCGCATTGAATAAAATACAAAGGAGCTGATACTGTATTGATACTGGCATCAGCATGGTATCCGTTCTGTTCACATTAGTCTTCTTAATACGTTTATAAATTTACTTTTATGTTCCCTGATTTATAAATGAATTTCTTTTTATTTTAAATGTAGGAAATTGAGGATGCAGATCTTCATTTCAACACTGCCAGCGAGCAAGACGTGAGCAGTCCTGGAGTGATTCTTCCGCCCACTGAATGTCCTCTCTCTGAGCAGGACATGACAGGCTTAAGGAACACTATTGATGTTACAGGACCATCAGATTCCTATGGGCGAGACATTTATTTGGCTGTATTGAACTACGTGCTAAATCATGTACCGTAGATGCAAGAATTTTGTTTCAAAAACCAGCTTAACACTAATGTGTTATACAAAGTGTACATTGAACTTGTTTTAAATGTTTATTGTTACTGACAGCAGTGAAGTTACATGGTACAAACATTCTTTAACTGCTTTTTAGAGTGCTAGGTTGCAACTTGTGAGTGAGACAACATGATGCCAATTAGCCAGACATCTAGATGAGATGTAAACTAATTACTTTTATGAAATCTTGTTGCAAGATTACCTTCTTAACCTTAACATGTTTGCATGAAATGCTCAACAGTACTGCTATTAAACAATAATTTAATGTTATGTTATGTTATGTTATGTTAATATAATGTAATGACTAATTCCTCTTTCCAAATATGGATTTTAGAACACCGTATTACTAAGAAATGTGTTTCATTAATCAGAACATAAGTAAAACGGTAGCAACTGGTGCTAAACATTTATCATTTACTGTAGGATGTAGTTCAACCTAGAAAAAGTTACCATCAGTTGATGGTAAATATTTACACCATGTTAAACTGTTGGCCCAGATGAAAAGCCTCAATTAGACCCTTTTTGAATTGGTCATAAGGCCTCATATGTTTTACAGGCAGTACAATATTCTTGGCACATGCTGACACAACGGGGTAACACACACTGATGGCCAAAGGCTGCACTACAGTCATGGTTAAACTTGATCGTTACAGCAAAATCCTTCTTCTCTGAGGGAAGAAGTGGGATGTGACCTTGGCCTGTGATCCACTGGAGAAACCTGGCAGGTGTGATGGAATGTAGGCCATTTTGGTCATCTACCTGGTCTTCAGCTATGAAGCAAACAGATAAAACAACAAGTGTTATGTGACCATTAAAAATGTTATTCCTTACTGCAGTGCAGTTCTTTCAATTAAAGGAGTGAATTAGACAAAGGTACTTAGCCACAGAAGAACAGAAAAAGTCAAATTTCAAGATGATTTGGAGATGACTATCTGAGCCAAACACAATGAATATATGCCATTATATATACTTTCATTATTGGTAATAATGTCTTTCTACATAGAATGGTGATAGATTTGTAAAGGTTTTCATTAAGAACAATGGGTTTAGGGAAACAATCATTTGTATGTATGTTCTCTGTATGTATGCTCATTGTGATTACAGCCTTGCATTCAAAAAAAGTGACAACTGTCTTAAAACACAAACTATCCTGGTCTATAGTACCTATTACCATTATCAAAAATTTTCAGGTAGAAAATAACATTAACATGTTCAATACCAGCATAATTACAGGTGGTACCGGAAAATTATACAGCTCCAAATGTCATGAAAACAAAAACATTTTACTGAGCTTTCGAATATTTGATTTGCAGAACATTAACAACTATACACCTTCAGCTTCATAAAGGAAGTCCTGAATAAAGTTGATCATCTCCAGCTCAATCTGATGCCTGGAAGTCCCTTTGTCAGGAAGAAAGGATGCCATGACAAACTCTGCATTAACCTATGATGAGATAAAATTGTATATCGTGTCACCATTTAATTATAAAATGTCATAGCAGCTAAGCATTTCTTCATATAATAGTACTAAATGGTCTTGTTTTGCTTACTTTTACATCTTCACCGGGAACAAACAGGGGCTGGCAGATATCTGGGTACTGCCTGATTAGCGAAAGAAGGTCATACAGCTGCAGGCCTTCTCTCAGTTGTTCCAACATAGGCTGCAGCCTCAGCACTGCATGGAGTACAATGGCACTACAATAGTAGACAGGAAAAAATACCTTTTATTAATTTTACTGTACAAACAGAAATATATGTCCTAACATACCGAACAATGGACTCCTTATTTTGCACTGAGATCCTGTATTTCCACAATTTAGGATTTCATCAGAAAGGCCTTCAATTGAATGTTCAGTTGACATTTCAACCTGAAAATATAAATTTAATTCACAGGAAGAAAATTTCTTTCCCATGTAAACACATGAAAATATTGTTTGACAGGGAATACTTGATCAACCCAGTATTTTCTTCATACAGAGGTCATACCTGCTCAATTAACTCTCGCAACTGGACATCTGCAACTGCATCAGTATTGAGAGTTGCTGGGTTTATCTGGCCACTACAGAGGTAACTGTAAGTCCATGGGCTGAAAAAGGCAGAGGCCGGGCCACCTTGTGCCAAACTTACTGCCAAAATCTCTCCAACAGTCCTCTTTACACAAATCAAGCATTAATGTTTTAAAAAATATTTCACAGAAAGAAACAGTTTGGCCCGACTTGCATAAAAATAAACCCACTTGTACAGGCCGCTGTCAAAGTCAGTCAGAGAGTATCGTGGGCTCCTCTGGTGCTTTGGCCCCTCAAAGAAACGGCTCTCAATTCCTGCAATCATTTCTATTGACACAAGTACAAACACAATAACTGTTGGTCTAGGGTCTCCTATGTCAAGTAATATTTTATTATCGTGTGAATTAACTATTAGCCATTTAATTTAGACCATATTACTTTAATTGGAAACCCAACCAAGATAATAAAAATGTATTTCTATTTAGCCATTCAGATCATTTCAGTAGGGTTTGTCTAATTTGGGTTGTTGTTTTATTAATTTTTGTACATTATAGAAAACCTAATACACAACTCGAGGACAGACCTTAGCTGGTAGTTGGACATATTACTAATAAAAATGTAACATTTCTTCATGATTTGGGTGAGCTGCCCGTTATTCATAGAGACTGTTCTGTGGATTCAAATATGTTTCCTTTTGTTTTACCTGTGAGAAATTATTTTCGGAGAGCACCTGTGTCCACTCCAGCCTCCCCAAAGAATGTCACTTTCAGAGCAGCAGTAGGTGAATTTTTTTTTTGACGCTGCCACTGCAGTAGGCCTCTCTCCAGAATGTTTGTTCTGGAGATTTGGATGTTGAACTGTTTCTCTAGGTCAACTCTTCCACACATGGCATCCAATACATCATCAACACTGCCAAACCAAACTTAGAATCAATAAATAGCTACTAATGTTGACTGCAAAACCTGCAGAATTAAGATCTGTGTAGGATGAAGATGTTTATGTATTTAGACAACACAGTATTTACCTTTTGATGTGCTCCTCTCCATTGTTCTGGCTCGCAGCAGTTGTCTCAGCCATCTTAAGATTGTCCTTTTCTCTACAAAAGCACATGTGAGACATATTAGTACGAATAGAAAAAACAAGTACTCAAGTTACATATACATTTAAAATGAACATAAAAGTACCGCATACAAATTACCTTTCTCCACACATGCTAGCATGGATCTCTACAAACTGTGGTGTAAATTTCAAGAAACAGATGGGACATGGAACTTTCCATTGCAACTCAATAACTTTTAACACTGTACCTCTTCAAAAGATGTCTTGGTGTCATGGTGTACAGGGGGGGCTGTCATTGAAACTATCTGGATGTCGTTTTCACACGTCTAAGATATTACATATGAAAATATTCTGTTTAACTCATTGAACAGCAGCAGTTGCTGTACAATGCAACATCACATGTATTACATAGCTTACCTCAATATCCTCTCCTGCTGACTGAGACTCCATGCACTCCTGAACATGAAGGGCCAAAATGTGCAAAGGAAAACTCACTTTGCAAGTTTGACATTGTGCTTTTGGCATACTTCGGAATTGGCATCTGGAGGTAGTGGAGTTAGGTCAAACTCATGCTGCAAAGGCACAATATACAGGGTGTTCTTCCCTGCCCCTGTGACACTGCGAAGAAGAGTTCCGGTGTATCCATCAGAGTCTGGACGAATCATTATCAGTCTCCTTTTACCCTGACCACCTGTAAATGCAACATTGTTTGGATTATTTCAACTAGATATGTTTGGCCAAGTTATTTGAATGGCAATGTATGAAAAAAATGGATATTATATTACTACTTTTCTCCACCTGTAGCCTTGTAGAGTAGCCATCCACCTGTCACTCCCTGCATCTTAGGGTACTCATTTTGCAGTAGTCTAAAGAACTAAGAGAACATAACTAAGTGATGATAGATAGATAGAAAGATACACTTAATTTATCCCGAGGGAAATTCAAGTATCCAGTAGCATACGAAACATACATCCATTAAACATCCATTAAACCTATATTAAAATAGAATTAAAATTAAAATAACTTATAACACAGTAAACAGTGCAAATGAAGTGCAGATAGAGGTAGAAATTGTTCTTTTGTCTATTGTCCTCCCTGCCATGACTAGGAGCTGATGTCTCAATGCTTGAAGAATATCCTACCACTAGGATAAAAGGGTCATGTTTTAAATATAAGACGTTTTGAGCGAAGTTTAATCTGTAATACCTCCTCGTGACTCATATCCCTGGACATGGTGAGATGTCTTTTTCCAAGCCCTTCTTGAGCAAGTTCAGACTCTTCAGATGAGGTTGGGGTTGTCTCTGAATTTATGTTTAACAGGTAAACATAGAAACTAAAAGGCCTCCAGGTTTTTGTATATGGTGTGCTATAGGTCTTTGGACTCTGTATGTTTCGCTTTCCTAGGTAACTTTTTCTTGAGAAAAATCCAGGGAAAGATCTGCATGATTTAAAAATGTTTTTGTTTTTTAAATTATGGTCATAAATGTACAAATAAAATATTAACTAGTTAAATTACTTTAAAATGAACTTGAACAATAAAATTCCATCTAAAACCTGGCCATCTCTTGGTCTACAGATGACGATCCCTGTTCCTGCATTCTTCCTTGCTCTTGCTGTCCCGGAGAGATGTTCTGTGTGAGCACGTTTATAAGACTCTGTGCGGCTGCAGCCACTGTCGACTTATGGTCGACATTCTGACAAACAGAGGTTAACAAAGAAAATCCACGTTAAAGGCAACAACTTGAGCTAGTTACTGAAATGAGTAACTAGTTCCTGTGCTTTAGTAGGATGGAGCTAACTTAGTTCATGCTAATCCAGGTGTAACACAGATGAAATGATCTAGGTTTAAAAATAGGAAAAGCCTATAAAAATCTGAATGAGTGATTTTATTTTTGAAATACAATTTGAGAGATTATCTAAGGATTTTAAAGGGTTAAAATTCAGTTACCAGGGCAAAATAGACCGACAGGTTAGTTTGGCCAATCAGCTGACAGCAGGTAGGTCCGCCCACCTGCTCCCGCGTCTCTGGGAGCGAGCGAAAGTTTGTTTTTCCCCCCGCTGCTGTGTGTGTGGAGAGACAGAAGTGCTACGCTGCTGTAGAGGATGAAAACTGTGAAAAACGGAGAAACCTGGAGAAAATACAGCTAAAAACGAACTACACTGAGGCTAACTTCAACACTACAAACGTGGTAGCTAACTGCTGTAAGAATTTAGTTGTAAGTTCAGTGTTTAGATATAGCGTTTGAGAGACTACCAGCAGCGTCGGTAGCTTTGATGTCCGTAGGATTTCCCGCGACGCGCAGTCTTTGCTGATTCAAGAGCGAGGTAATTCATTTAAAACTGCTTTTGTTCATTCTTTATCACCTTACTGTGAAAGCTAACTTATTTTGCACTGAGAGAAAGTACTGAAAGTTGCATACGGTCTCGTATGTTTCGGTTTTAGAAGACCTTGTGGCTTTACTGGGCGCCGCCATTTTGGGTGTGTGTGTCCAGCCGCTCTGGTGAAATCAGTGAGAATGTTCATTTTCAACTTAAGAATTTCACTTACTTTGTACCTTAAATTATTTATGTGCACTTAGTGAATATGAAGCTACACTTTTAGTTGAACAAGCTGGTTTACTGTGTTGTTTAATGTGTAAACTCAGCTTACTTTACTTTGCACTTGCATCAGAACTTTAATTGTTCTAACATGCAGCTAATTGGTGCAGCTTATCTAGTTGTGTGCAGCCAAGTTATTTATGTTTATATGCTGAATATTGAGAGAGAGGCACAGAAAGTAAACACCCACAGTATGTATATCATTGTGTATTGTGAATTTCATGTAGTGTATATTATTGCATGAGACTTAAGCAGTGAATATTTCTCTGACCCTGTCTGTGGACAGGTCAGGGTTTTTTTTTGTGTGTGCGTGTTTCTTCTTCCATTGTCTGGATTGGATCTGCGGATGAAAATTGATGGCGAGCCGTCCCTCTTGAATGATTGTGGGAGCCATTCCCTCTTCAGGATCACTGGACCTGTCCCGCTACTACTGCACTTTGCGGTGTGGTAGGCCCCACTAGAACACAAAACCCCTTCACTCACCTTCACACTCCTTCCCCCACACACATACATACACTAACCCTATGGAACTCTGAACTCTGACTTACCTTCGACACATCCATTTTTTTGTTTGGACTTTGGACTCACTTAAACAAACTCACCTGTTCACACCTTGGGACTGAGAATTTGGAGCTGAGTAGTAGGAATCATTCCTGCAGTTAAGGGTTACTGTTGTACTGTGTGAATTCTACTGGATTGTATTATTGAACTGGATCTGAACAAACTTGAATGTGGTGTTATTAACAGAAAATCAGGTTTAAAGGGTGCACCCGGGAATTTAATTATAGAACTACTTCAAAGAGTGAAATACTCACTTTAAATTTGGAAAGCAAGCATCTCATGCTGATGTCATAGCCTGATTGTGATATCAGTAATCGCCTTATTCATTACTTGTTTTATTATTGTACTTTTTCATTTTTGGTACCAACAAATATTTTTATTTTTATACATATCTTCAAATATAAGAAGCCGGCATCATCTTACGTCTAATCCTTGGTCTCTGAGTCTCATTTTAAACACCTCACTTTTGCTCCAGCAGCCGAACCAACCGACTTAACCAACCAATCAGATCACGGCCCTACCCATAATCCTTCCTGTGTGCTACACAAGCGATGCTTCATTTCCAGCTTTGTCCAGTTGTCAAACTCAAACGCATTTTCCCTTTATGTGTGTCCCTACAATAAAATAATTAGCCACTGTGGGATAATGTCACCAAATAATATATTCTAAACGGCCCATATATTTCACCTGTCTTACCTGTTGCCTTGGCGCTGCGGACGCCATGGCGAGTGAATACAGCGGTGCGTTCATGGTCGCATGTGTAAGTGAGAGAAGTTCATTCTTAAAGTGTCGCTGCTGAACTGCACAAACTGGCACAATTTATTGCTCGTATAGTGTAATTGGTCCCACGTATTGTCCAAAACAGCTTTTTAAAGGGAACTTAGCCACTGGCATTAGTTTGTTTACTGCCAATCACGTGCATATGGTGGATAGAAAGAATTGAGCCATGGTTCTCGCAGTGCCTACGTTTCGTGAAAGCAACATGACTGAGGAGAGTCTTCGTCCTTCTTTGTTAGACTGTCACTCATGATTCCACGCCCCTCTCCGTTGAAACCATGCCACCCACGCAAAATCGGGGCCAAAAGTCTGAAACTGAAAAATAGATTTGAAAGTAAAAAAAAAGATTTGATGCTGTGTAAAAAAAAAAAAAAAAAAAAAAAAAAAGCTTTGACTTTGAAAACATAAAACGTGGAAATGAAAAATAAAAGTCCTAAAATATCAAAATATGGAAAAGTAAAAATAACAAACAAATAATTTCTTCAAAATACTTCCAGAAATAAATCAATATTTTATTTAAACTGAAAAAAATTGGCAAACTTATTTTTAGTTTGAGTACATGGTTGTATTTTTTTAGTTTTAGACAAAAACTTAAGATTTCAAGTTTTAGTTTTTTCGATTACAATTACTTTTTTCAAATTAACAAAACATTTGGCCCTAATTTAGCTCCATACTGTTGTTGCTGCAGCGGTCTGTGTGACGGCGGGAGCAGAGGGCTCTGTGAGCGGGCGGCTGGCCGGCCTTACACGCTCCTCCCGCGGGTTGGCGCAGGCTTCCCCCGCAGCCACTTGCGGAGCACCTCAACTCCGAAAATATTCAAGCACATTTTTGTTCAGCCGTCACTTCTCGTAAAACTCTCAATATTCGAAATCTACACTGTTTATTTCTCACCTCAAAACTTCTCAGAAGTGGATTTAGTGATGAAATTTCTTATGAAAACTGTAAAATATAAAACTTTCTGATGCTGGCCTGTCTGGGGCACGCAATGATGATGCAGTGAATATTATAATATTCTCTCTGACCAATCAGCAGTCTGTCGTGTCTTCACATTACATTTTAGTATCCCTCAGCTCGCTTGGAACCTCGATGGAGGTGAGGTGATATGAAAAAATGTACCTGGAAGCAAGTACAGGTGCAACATTTCTACAACGCAAAACCAAACAAAGGCGAGTCGAGCCAAAGCTCAGACTAGCTTGGTTTGAGGGAGATGGGAACTCCCTTTGGGCTGGACTTTGGGCTTTTAACTTTGCAAATCTTTTACATGCACAAAAAAGATAAATAACTCAATAAAGGTGAGGGGAAAAGCCAAAAAGCATAATACCACGACATTTTTTTATTTAGTTAGGCAACTTAATTTTTCCCTATTGTGAGAAATAAGTTTTTAGTCTTTTTAACAGTAACCTGAGAGACAACAACTGTGATAATTTATCAAAGTTTCAGTCTTTCCAGGCAGACGCCAGCACAGATAGGTGACACTTTTTACACAAACGGATAACAAAACAGGGGTGGTATTGACACCTTTTTTAACATTTACTTTTTTACATTTTCAGCATGTGCTTAGGATTGTATGTTAAATACCAGACTTGAAACAATACTTTAACATGGCTGTGAGCTTGAGACGTTTCTAGGACTAAATGCCAGAATTGAATCAGAATTTGCATGAGGTCACATGCGTTTGTTTCTTTGCCACTTGAGAGCAATAAAGGCAGAGAGATGTCGAATGTCAGGAGGAAACGCCATTCAGGTTCTTCTCTTTGTACGCACAAATAAAAGGACTTGATTCACACAGTTGACTATTTTAGTTTTCTATTACAATACCTTCATTAGGCTGCCCAAATAGTGGGAAAGATTGTCACATGTAACAAGCGGTGATGTTAAAGTTCAAGGTGAATACTGCAGGTGACATATTCATAAAATTGAGGATTGACAAATTGTGTCTTGCTATTTTGACAGTTACTGTAGAAATACAAGCGATGTGAAGTTATTTAAAAAAATATAAAAGTATGTTCAGGTCAATGTGAACTCTTAAACACTACCTTACTTCACTTTATAAGTTTTTAGGCTTGTCTGTTATAGCAATTCTGTATACTACAGTGATTGATATACCTGAACACATCTTCTGTCACCTTCATAGCACAGAATTAAACAGGCATAATCAAAAGCACATTTATAATTACATATTTTGCAGCATCCAAAATACTTTGTCAGCCTTAAATATGTGTCCCCTCACATTGATGCTAAAGGGCTTGTATTTCTTCATTCACACATTCTTCAGACTTTTATTTTCACAAGTAAAACTGATTCATGTACAATTAAGATTTAAGGCAAAAGAACAACTCTTTGTCACATGTCGGAACCTGGTTGGATGTAGTATCTTGCAAATTAGTCAACTGATATTTTACTACATCAGTTAATATGCAAGGGCTTAACAAACAGCTGCATAACTAAATGTGAACAGTGCAAAAATGATAAAGTTTGTGGAATAGATCTGCTTCTGTGTACCAGTCCTGAAGGAGAAGCCACTTTAATGAAAACCTCAGAGCCCCAGGGCGTCTTTCTGCACGTTGCAACCCAGCAGAGCATTTCCAGCTTCCACACACTCTGTCACACATGGTGCTGGAAAAAAATAAATAAATACACAAAACAAGTCATCAGCAGAGGAGACTGAATGTGGGCAAACAGCTGATTTTTACTGGCACACACTGTTAAAAACAGCAGACTGGCTCTTATTGTTTTGGTTATTACCATTCTGAGCACGGAGCCATGACACAGCCTTCATAGCCAGAAGCTCCCACTCTTCCTGAGCATCCATCTTGAAACCATGAAGCCAGATCAGAGCCAGAATGGTGGCCCACACTTCCTGGTTCACCTAATTCACCAAGAGAAAAAATATGGAACAGGCACAACAGGAGATCGAAGAACAAAGAAGAGACAGCGTAAAGGGAAAATGCTGCTGGATGGTTTTGAACAATGTTACTTTCTAATGTTACTTTTGAGTTCCTTTCACTGCTATTTAATGGGTGAATTATTCTGATGGTAAGATGTGCCTGCATAGGTGGGTTCTAGTGATGTGCAGGCAGACCTCTGCCTCAGGATCTCAAGGTACGTGCTGGTGTATGTGGGACTAAAAGGTCAGAAAGGGCGAGAGACCATTAAGAGCTTTAAAAATGATCATTTCTAAAACATACTGGGAGCCAGGTATACATTGGTTCTCAGAGGGTGCTTAGGGGCTTGAGTATCACCAGTATTTTTGTTTTCATGCACTGACATATCTTTTGTCTTCCGAATCTTCATTTTCATTTCTTTTGGTTTGTTTAATGTTGTGTTGGTTTGGTTCCATATGTTTTATTACTTCTTCTCTATTGTTTCTATATAAACCATGTCATGAAAACTATCTTATAATTAACCCTTTTATTATTATTATTTTTGACCATAACCCACCGATGCAGGTTTAGGGTTCTCCACCTCCTCGCTGGTCTTTCCCAGTGCAGCAGCCAGAGCTGGATCCAGCACCCAGCTGCCAGACGCCTTCTGGAGGGAGACCAACTGCAGCAAAGGGTCTCTGGGCGGCTGTTTGGGCGAGTAGGCTTCTGAGAAGTAAATTAAAGAAAATGCAAAGATAAAATAATGTTTTTTCCCATTTTTGCCTATTTGATATTGTGTTGATATACTGTAGTTAAACATATTTGAACATGTTTTGCGGTTGTTTTATAGTGCTAAAATAAACTGTAATAAATTGTGTCTGACTGACTAAGAAATTAAATAAGTCACAAAGTCTTGACTTTGCTAATTATGTATAGAATCAATAAAGAACCAGTTTCAATTAAATTAAATTTTATTTATATAGCGCCAAATCACAACAACAGTTATCTCAAAGCGCTTTTCATAAAAGAGCAGGTCTAGACCATACTCTGTGATGTTATTTACAGAAGCCCAACAATTGTGATGTGGGCAAAACAAGAGTCTACAGCCATGTTAGCAGCTCTGTGAGTTTGTGCTTAGGCACAGTGGTGCTTTGAGCTAAATGCAAACATGCTCACAATGATAATGTTAACATGCTGATGTTTAATTTGTAGCATTAGGCTGAGGCAGATGGGCTGATGTCATTTGTTTTACAGGTATTTGGTCATAAATCAAAGTATTAGACAAAACAAACATTTGACCTGAAGAAGGTGCAATTTAAAAGTCCTGTATGCTGACAGAAGAGTCCTCCTGAGTGGCGGCCGCCAGAAACACATCCCAGTCTGTTTGAGCAAAACAGTCCTGCAGGGTGCTCTCAGTTATTAATGATGATAATAAGACTAGTAATAATAATTGTCACAGCAGGTGTTGAGAAGCAACGTGGGGCCAGCAGGCAGCCTGCAACCACAGATCCAGACTCCACAGCTTCTGTTCTTCTGCTGACCCAGAGCAGATGTGACAAGGCCTGCAGCCCATCACGGACTGCAAGACTACAATCAACACCATCAGCACTACAAACAACCTGCCGGATGACCTCAACATATTCTACACCCGCTTCGAGACCTCCAACAGCACAGAGAGGAGGCACACACACATCGATCTACTCAACCCCTCTCCCCCTCCCCCCCACTAACAGTCTCACCTGGCCAGGTACACAGAGCCCTGAGGAAGACCAACCCCCACAAGGCAGCAGGACCTGACAGCATTCCTGGGCAGACACTCAGAGCATGTGCTAATGAGCTGGCTGATGTTCTCTCCTCCATCTTCAACCTCTTCCTCAGCCAGAACACCGTACCTTCCTGCTTTAAAACATCAACCATCATTCCCCTCCCCAAAAAGAACCCACCCACCTGCCTGAATGACCACAGGCCAGTAGCTCTCACTCCAATCATAATGAAGTGCTTTGAGAGAGTGGTGCTGGCCCACATTCAGAGCAGAATACCGGACACCCTGGATGCAGTATGCCTACCGGCCCAACAGGTCGACACCATCGCTGCTGCCCTCCATTACTCCCTCTCCCACCTGGAAAACAAAGACTCCTACATCAGGATGCTTTTTGTTGACTTCAGCTCTGCTTTTAATGCCGTCATCACCCACAAACTGTCTGCACTTGGACTGCACCCCACACTCTGTGACTGGCTCCTCGACTTTCAGACTGGCAGGCCCCAGTCAGTCAGGATCGGCAACAGAACCTCAGCCACCATTACAACAAACATTAGCACCCCACAGCCCCATCCTCTGCACCAGGGATTTTCAATTAGAATTCAAAGAGGTCCAGTTAGAGAAAATTTCCCGAAGCAAAGGTCCAGAACATCATAACGACTAACTTACATTATCATTCAGTGCCATAACATATAGTTGTATCAACATGTGTTTTTAGTCAACAACTGACAATATTTCAACAATATTCAGTTTTCACATCAAACTGGAGGGATAATAAATAACAACTCTAATAATAAATTCTAAATTTAAGTAAACTAAAATAACGTCCTTAATTTCAGAAAAAAAATAAATAAAAAGTGTAGCTTGAAGTGATGAAAAGCAGTCTTAACCAATTTTATAAAAAAAAAACACTCTACACATCTCAACAAATGAACAGTTGTAATGCCTTCTCCTTCATTCCCTCTTATTGAGCTACCACTTTCCTAGTTTCTCTTGTTCAGTGAGAAACGTGAGCTCTAGCTTGTCCTGCTAGCTAGGATTGGAGCTACATGAGATATTCTGGTTCTGAAGAATGTACATGTAAGAATCTGTACATTCTTGATTAAAAGCCATGTGAAATCTCTTTTCTCTTTCGCCTCCTCTCTCCTGTGTGTTTCCGAAACGTCTCTGGTGTATCTCTTCTTCTTCTTCTTAGTTAATGGCGGATTGCAAACAACTTTTAAGTGCATACCGCCACCTACTGTATTGGAGTGTGTAACATCATATCACTCAGCTATCAACCTCAATAAGGTGCTCTCATTCTGTTCACCAACCCAGTGTCTTTAAGAAATTTAAATAATGTCTTCCTGGTGATTCTTATACCCTTTTCTTCTCCTTCTGTTCCCAATACCCCCATCAGATTCCATTCCCGCCCTGCTTCCTGAACCCTATCTTGAAATATCTGTCTTTCCAACTCAAACAATATGCAGTGCAAAATGATATGTTCAACATTTTCTTTAACCCCACAGTTTTCACACTTTTCACTATTCCTTTTCCCCAATAAAAACAAGGTGCCATTCAGTCCTGTGTGATCTACTCTTAGTCTTGTCATTATAATTTCCTCCCGCCTGGTCCTTTCGCTATAATTTTTATTACTGACAGACTTTTGTATTTTATAGTAACTCCTTCCTTTCCTGTCTTCCTCTCACCATTTCTGCCATATTTCAGTACCTTTCTTCTTAATGGCTGTTTTTCCTTCTCCTTTTCCTAGCGGCATTTGAACTGTTATTTCCCTTTTGTAATGCATCTTTTGCAATCTCATTTCCATTTACTCCCTCATGAGCTGGCACCCAGCAAAACTGAACATCTATCCCTCCCCGATGTAATCTTAATAAGCTGTGAAACATTTCTATCAATAGGTCTTCTCTGCCAGATGTCATTGACTGAATGCTTTTAATAACTGCTAAGGAGTCTGTGCATAATATCACCCTATCAGGTCTGACCTCTCCAACCCACTGTAATGCTATAATGACTGCCACTATTTCTGCTGTATATATGGATAGCCTATCTGATAATCGTTTTGAGATATTTATTTTGAATTCTGGTATATGTATTCCAATTCCCACACATTCCTGTTTGATTTTAGATCCATCTGTATAGATTTTTAGATAATTATGGAAATCCATACCCATGCCCCTGAAACTTGAAATATTCCCAACAATCCTCCTTTGCAGGGTTTTCTTTCCCACTTCCTTTCAATCTGACCCAGTATGCTAGCGCTAGTTTCTCTCTTCTTAACTCCAGTGGTGTCTCTCCAGCTTCTATGAGTATTGTGTTAATGGGAGTTCTCTTAATGGCTCCAATGCATATCCATAAGGTTCTGTATTGTAATTTATACATTTTTTCCAATGTTGTTTTTGCTGCTGCATCATATACTATGCAACCATAATCTATTGATGACCTCATGCATGCTCTATATATGTGAATTAGTGACTGTTTATCTGCACCCCAGTCGCATCCCACCACTGCTCTCAGTAAATTAATAACTTGTTTGCATTTAGTTTCCAATTGCTTTATCTGTGTTTTCCGTGTGTACTTACTATCAAACCACAATCCCAAATACTTAAATTCATTTACTTTTTCCATTGGCTGCTGATATAGAAAAAGCTTTTCTACATGACACTTTCGCTTGCACCATCAACAGGATTTGCTTGTTGATATTTTAAATCCCCACTTGAATGACCACATATCTACTTTCCCTATTGCTTTCCTAATGTTCTCTAACACATATGTCTCATTTCTTCCTCTCATCCATATGGCCCCATCATCTGCATATAACGCTGATTTGATGTATCCATCTAAATCTGAAAATATATCATTAATCATAATGTTGAAATAATTGCGCTCCCCTGGGGAATGCCATTATTTACCTTAAACTCTGTAGAAATTTCTGATCCAACCTTTACTCTAATTTTCCTATCTGTTAAAAAGTCTAGTATCCAGTTATAAATCCTTCCTTCAAACCCCATTCTATTTAGTTTAATAAGTAGTCCTTCCCTCCACATAGTATCATATGCCTTCTTAATGTCAAAATACACTATTATCATCAGCTCTTTCATTTTCAGTGCCTTTTCTACCTCATTACTTACTCTAATGAGAGCATCTGTTGTGGAGCGCCCTTTCCGAAATTCATTTTGTATATTACTCAGTAGTCCTCTCTGTTAAATTACATGTGATAACCTACGAACTATTATCCTCTCCATCATTTGCATAAGTGAGATGTCAGAGCTATGGGTCTATAATTACCAGGATTGGTTGGGTCTTTACCAGGTTTGCTAAACGGTAGTATAACTGCACTTTTCCAACTTCTCGGTATTATTCCATCCTTCCATATTTTATTGAACAGTCTTAACATTAGCTTAATTGACTCTACTGGCAGCTGATGGAACATGGCATAACATAACTGGTCTTGTCCTGGGGCTGTATATCCTGTGCCAAGCAGAGCTATATTGAGTTCTGTTATTGTAAAATCCACATCTAAAGTTGTTGTACCATCCTCCCTCTTCAGCTTCACGTCCGTATTTTGTACCAGGTCTTTCTGTTGCTTATGAATATCCATAAAGTGATCACCACTATGCACAGCCGCAAAAGCCCTACCCAACATCTCTGTCTTTTCTTTGTCTGACACCACTGTCTTTCCTCCATCTATCAAAGCTGGGATTTTAATCGCTTTCCTTGGAACAAAACTCTCTCCAATTTTTCTTTTTGGTTAACTTAATTGTCCTACGTGCCACTGCCCTTTTCCTTTGAAAATCCAAAACATTCTCTTGTGATAAATTCTTCTTCAATGTTTTAAAGGCTTTGTTTCGTTCTTTTACAGCTCTGCTACACTCCTCATTCCACCAGGGGACCACTTTCTTCCTGCCCTTTGTTCTTCTTTTTGGAATACTTAAATGTGCTGCATTTATAATGTGTTCTGTAATTTGCTTTGCGCATTCCTCTACATAACCTAAATTTTACCCTGTCTGCTTTCTCAAAGCACCATCTGTTAATTGTACTTCCTTCTTGGAAACATACATTTGTGTTGATAATAGTGAGAACTGGAAAATGGTCACTTCCCATGGTAGAATCATTCATAACAAACCATTCACATGCGTTTACCAAATTATCTGATACCAGTGTAATATCTAAACATGATGTTTTACCCCTATTCACATCCATTCGTGTTCCCTGTCCATTATTAATGCAGACCAGTGATCTTTCTTCCATCATTTCTTCAATTATGTCCCCATTATTATCTGTGTGATTGCTGCCCCATAAGCTGTTGTGTGTATTGAAGTCCCCACACCATATTTCTTTCCTGTATACAGTCCCTGCCATTTCATTAAGTTTATTGATATCTATTTTTGCATGGGTTATAGAAATTAATCAATTTAATATTTCCCTCTTTCCTTGGGCTATAGATTTCAAGTATTATACATTCTAAATCTTCTGAGCTTGGGGAGTCCCTGTAGGCCAACCCATCCTTGATAAAGGTGATGCACCCTCCACCAGTTTGGTTGTTAGGTCTATTGTACCTTATAGAGCTAAACCCTGGTATCACATAATCTAGTCTGTCTCGTAACCAAGTTTCTTGTACACATATTGCATCTGGAACAACATCTAATTCATGAACGTACTTTTTGAATTCTTGACCATTAGCTATAAGACTTATTGCGTTCCACTGTAGTATGTGAAGAACCATTATAAGCGTCCTAACCATCAGTTTGTATATTTCCATTTTCAGTTACAGTCAACAACGCATGTATTTGATCTGCTTTGATATCTTTCATATCAAGAAGTTTTCCTGCTGCTTCTTCAATAGCCTTAATTCTGTCACTTTTCTTTTTCAACTGGGACACAACATTGATTGTGTGACATATGAAACCCACAAAGTTCACTTGTTTCACTATCAAAGTATCATCGTCAACTTTACATTTATGCTCGCAACCATTCTGTGTGTCAGCTGGAATCTGGCTTTGTGTCTGATTAACTGGTGTTATGTTTCTTTGGACAATTCCACTGGAGTTTTTGTTATTTGATCCTGTTTCTCTTACTTTCTTTAGAGCTTCTGCATATGATACTTTTTTGGGCTTCTCTGGCTTCTCTTTGCACTTCACATCCACCAAATGCAGCACTATGCTCTCCTCCACAGTTACAACATTTAATCTTTGCATCCTTTTCACATTGCCCATACTCGTGCTGGCCCCCACATCTAGTACACTTTAGCTTTCCTTTGCACTGCTGAGCTGTGTGCCCCATCCTTTGACATTTATAGCATCTGATTGGGGGAGGGATGTATTCTCTCACGCTGTAATTTATGTATCCCATTTGAACTGACTTAGGGAGGGTTCTCTCAAATTGCACAACCACAGATAGTGTGTCTTTTAATGATCCATCTCGTTTGCTTTTTAGTCTAGTAGCCTCAACTGCTTTGCCTCCCTGAATCTCATTTTTAACATCTTCCATTGACATATTCAAAGGGACTCCTGATATAACTCCTCTAACCTTTGCTGTTGCTCCTGGGATGTGAGCCTTCATCCTTTTCCCTTGAAGTGTGGACATACTAAGAATCTTTTCTTGTTGTTGTTTGCTGCTTGCATGTATCAGTATTCGTTTATTGTTCAAAAATCTTCTCAATCTTCTTCTCAATCGCCTTGGTAAGTTTAATTGGGTGATAGTGTCCGCCATCCTGGTTGAACTCAATTATAACTTTCCAATCGTTTCCTTGCACTTTCTCCGTATTCTCAGGCTTCTGTTTCTCACTCTGGCTAGCTCTCAGTAGTTTCTTGTTATTACTTCCCTCGCCGGTCTCTCTATGTTCTGACCAACTTTTCCCTCTCTAGGTAGAGAGGGAAAAGTCTCTTGAGGTAGAGAGGGTGAGCAGCCTCAAATATCTGGGCGTCCACATCAGCGATGACCTCTGTTGGACACTGAACGCCACAGCAACTTCTACAGGTGGACTGTTGAGAGCATCCTGACCAGCTGCAACACTGTGTGGTATGGCAGCACTACTGCTATGGACAGCAAATGCCTGCAGAGAGTGGTGAAGACAGCTGAAAAGATCACCAGGACTCCACTACCCTCCCTGCAGAGCTTCTACAATCAAAGAGTCCACAGGAGAGCTGCCTCCATTATCAAGGATCCCACCCACCACACAACACGAACTGTTCACACTTCTACCCTCGGGTCGAAGGTGCAGAAGTGTGAAATGTAGGACTACACGACTGAAGAACTCTTTCTTCCCCACTGCCATCAGACTCCTAAACAATGAATCGGCATCAGGACTCCATAATTACATTTATGCATTTAGCTGACGCTTTTATATAAAGCGACTTACAATTGCTATACATGTCAGAGGTGGCACGCCTCTGGAGCAACTAGGGTTAAGTGTCTTGCTCACGGACACAATGGTGGATGGGTCACAGTGGGGGATTGAACCCGGGTCTCTCACACCAAAGGCATGTGTCTTATCCTTTGCACCCCCCCAATCATGCCCATCTTACACTGTACCATGACATGTTAATTGCACTATTTTGCACATCTGCACATCTGCACACTGCTCCATGCACAATTTCCACATGTACATAATTCATCAGTTGCACAACTGTTAATTCGTCTGCCTGCACAACGACAAAGTGAATATATTGTTTGTATTTCTGTATGGATATTGTGTTGGCTTTTGTCCCCTCCCTCGCCCTCTCTTGCTGTCTCTCGCTCTTTTTTTGATTTTTTTGAAAATTGCTCTGCTCTGGTGCGAACCACTGCAGGAGGCAGACTTAACCTTTATAAGTGCTCCCGGCAATCAGCCATTTTGATGATACCAGAATCACTACTAGATTTTCCTCCTGCACACTAAAGGCCAATTTTTTACTTCTGAGTCTATGCCGTAGCCTATGCCATCGTGAGCATTTATACTTGTGTTGGTGTCTCCATCACTCTGATAGTGACTAGTTTGCGGTGGGGTTTCTATGTTCCACTGTGTTGATTTCTGCCAGCCGAGTCAAATAACTTCCTAAAAAATAACATATGTATCCACCGTTTTAGAGCCATGTGCAATGCTACCAAGGCGACCGATTACAGTTCTTGTGGTCTGCGTCGCCGTGACATGTAGTTACATTATTGGGGCGATGCACATCAGGCAACGCAGCAGGCTAAGTCGTAGGGGACACGGCTACACGTAGGCTACGGCGCAGGTTCGACGCTAAAGAATATATTTGCCTTAAAGGGATCAATTAGGGGAATTGGGGGAAACACGTAAGGGCCATGGCCGGTGAGAGAAGGCAGTGCAGGGAGCAAGGATGCCAAAGAAAATCTTGACTCTGCATGTGCGTGGGGATAAACCCTACATCTTTTAGAGGGCACAGCCTGTACAAAATAGAAGAACACCTACTGTACAAATAGTATTTTACATTGAAGTTGCAAATGTGTTGTTTTGTTTACATTGATTTACTGTAGTTTTATAACATAGACATGTGGTCCACTCCCTTTCAGCTTTTTACTTACCATACATGTTGTATTGATGAGCACGGGGCCTGGAACGCCGCCGCCGCGTACAGGCCTGTGGAGCTTTGGGATTTAAAAAAATTACAGGCTCAAGCCATTAAATGATGATAATTATTAAACAAAAAATATTATTTTAACAAGCACCAAACAATTTTCATAATATATATACAAATATATTTTAAATATTCAAGTTTATCAAATAGTCAATATTTCTTTACATACAAACAGACATGTAAAGAGATGTGAACACGCAAACTAGGGGTGTGAATCTTCAGTATCTCACAATTAGATTTAAAATCGATTGTAGATTCAGTATGTACAGGTACTAATTTCTGAATCTACTCCAGTCCACTTTGTGCTAAGACAGGTGGTGTGGCAAATTATGGCATGAAAGCAGCTCAGGGGATGGCGTAAGATGTGAGCCCGAGGATTTGTAGTGTTCCCGAAGTACTTAACTATATAAAGAATGACTATATTTTCTAACAGGTTAGGTTAGCACCCACAGCCTGTCTGCAACTACAGTATGTGATACAGGCTGAGCCTCCCCTTAAAGGAAGGTGGCCTTGTCGGTAACCTGTGTGTGTGTTGTCTGCAGACTAGGGGTGCATCCCAAGACTCTTAACTGCATCCATGTTTCCCTCACTTGAGTCATTTCCAACCATGTGAGGAGAGGAGAAACGATCAAATATGTTTTTAGAGAAATGAGACGAAAATTAAAATCTTGCTAATAAATGAAGAAACTTGTTTTGGTCCTTTTGTTGTTCAGACCTACGATGAAAACAGATCAAAGAGGGAGTGTGGGAGAGTGATACACTTGAGTTTAATCTGTCATCTGTCTTCACTCCGGAATTAAACTGCAGTGATGTGATATATCTGATCAATCCGATCAGCTGCAGCGTCCAATCAATAATGGATATTCAATAAAGGGGAGTATGTTTCAGTAAAATACTTCTGTGTGAAGGGTGGCCTCGACTGGACTGTTTCCACCCGCTGCTGCCGCTGGAACAGTCGCCGTGAACCCGCTATCGAGCGGTACCCTGGCCTCGCCAGGATCCGATCCGAGAAATACCTCCGACAGACACATTCCCACTGAGAACTGCCATTATCATTTTCGCTACCAAGAGCGACCTGAGTAAGAGGCTTAACTAAAGTGGCAGAAATATAGACGTAATTTTATTGGTTATGTGCTGAGCTTTATGTTGATTGTGGATTTATGGGCCGCCGCGTCCGCTGTTAGATATTGCTGTTTAAGTGCTCAAGCACACTGTGTTAGCATCATCCCGGCCACTTAACTGACCGGGGTTTTACAGATTTCAGCCGTCTGTGAAAGTGATCGCTAAATATCCTTTATCAGAGTCAAAGGCCAAGCCTGTGCTAGTGAACGCTCCATGCACTAGTGGGTCTTGTCGATTATCGGTAGTTACGACACTATTACACAGCCTGAATTTCTGCTTGTGATTCTGCTGTGACTCTGCCCAAAGTAAAGCCAGCATCCGCCCATTGAGGATAACTCATTGTGTATGCTGTGTGGCAGGGTGTAGTTACGTTGTAATTCACCGTGATAATTAAACTCACAGACATTATCTTGTATGATCTCACTGTTTTCCCTGCTTTCCTTGAACTAATCACTGTATACACTCACTTGCCACGTGACCGGCACGCCGCCATTTTTGTAGTTTTGCATAGCCTGCAGAGAGCATAATCGTCATTTTGGGCCTGGTGTGGGGCAACCCCCCACACACGTGGGTACACCCTCCACGCCCCTCCCTCTCTCTTCCCCTTTCCGGTCACACACACACACACACACACACACACACACACACACACACACACACACACACACACACACACACACACACACACACACACATCTCAACGCACTCCCCTCTCATTTGTTGTTGTTTGTTACTAATCTTACCTTGACCACGACAGGCAGCTGGCTGAGGAAATGCTGCCATGCTATAGGCCATCATCATTGGGCCTTTGGGATAAAAAAAAAAGTATAGGGTCAATTAATTTCATGATAATTATTAAACAAAAAATATACCATCTGAACTAACTGTTTCTGAGCTTATTATAATGACTCAAAACAAGTAGTTAAAAATAGTGCTTAAATGTTTTTCATATATTCAATATTCACAGACAAACACTGTGAGCAAAGCACAAATGCTAGCTCTTATATCGAATTTAAATGCTGTTATAACAGTCATTAAATTATGAAATGATTTTCTTAATGTTAAGCAGAACATGATCATGCCTCTCTACACTATTATTCATGGTCAGCTATAGTGTCTCTTAAGTAGAGGGTGACTTTTATTTACACTCACTGGGTGTTGGAACGTTTCTGCGCACCAGAGGTCCTTGAATCGCCTCGCCGTCGCCTTTGTTGACAGCAATGAAGGCAGTGAAGGAACTGCTCACTCCTGATTGGACACTGAGCTCCACCACCTTCTCCTTCACTCCTCCATCTTGCTGTCCTCTGCGGCCTCTCTCCTCCACCTCCAGGGAGCGAATCAGAGTCCAGCAGCCAACCTGTGGACCGTTAATCTGTAGACAGGAGAGAGGAGGAAACACAGGTGAATCTTAAACGTAATGAACAAATTTCTGATATGCATACTCAGTTTTAGGAGATTTTCTTTTTGGGGGGGGCAAATGTACGCAATTTCTCTCGCAGTATCCAAGATACTACAAAAAAGACTTTTGAGCGATTCTCTAAACTCACCTGGAAGTAGGGCTGCAAGATTTGGAGAAAAAGTCCTATTGTGATTATTGTGGACAATATTGCGATTCGATTACAAAGGAACAAATGGTACTACGAGTCTACTTGCTTATTTATCAAGGAATGCACGAAATACATTTTGAAATGTGTATTTCTCAACTTGGGGGAGCGCGTTGCTCTACGGAGGAAGTGGCTAGAAGCAGCACATATTAGCACACTGGCACCGGTTCAATGTACATCAGTCTAATGCAGTCTCTATCCATCACCAGGAGGAGGAACTGTACATGAGTGTATTAAATAAAGAGTATAATGTTTAGTTATTAGTATACTGACAGTATAACAATAATCTACTACATTAATTATAATTAAATGTAAATATATATATTTTACCACTATTTAGGGGGAGTTAAGGTAGGTTGTTGTTATAAAAATTACTGGCACACTGCTCAAATATTTTTTCTCATTGCATGTAGGCTTATCAGTTTTTAGGGGCATGAAACAGGAAGTTGTTTTTAACGTCACTGTACTATTCAGTTATAGTCATATCACCATTACTGACAGACCACAGAAAGTAAGCTCCAAATACACTTGAAGTACCGCAATGTGACGTTTAATTACCAGGGGCTCTCTAGGGCCACATAGGGGACACGTGACTATTCAGAGCCACGTCGGCAGGGCCTTTCCAAAGCTGCTTGCAGCTTTATAATTACTGAATTTAACCATAAACTATATTGTAAATTCACTACCCAGTCCATAGCACTTGAAGCTGTTTTACCCAAAGTCCTCTGCAGGTCTGAGACTGAAGTGGAGCTGGTTCTGAGAGGGATGACCTGCCAGGCTGTACTTCACCGTCACACAGCCCTCTCCTGCCTCTGAACTCTGAGAAAGCATTAGTGTTAGAAACCATGTGTGTTAATGTGATAACATACCAGATGGAAAAGAATAATAGGTATTTCACTGTGAGATGGTGCTGCTCCTACCTGTCCGGTGAGCTGGGCATAAATCAGTGACCTCTGACCCTGGAAAAGTGCTGTGATTGGTGGAGAGAGGACAGTGGCAGACACTCCCTTTGGCAAATCCCACGTGACTGAGATGTCCACCACAGCTGGCTGCAGAGCAAATCGCAGCGACTGCATCACCTGGTGGGAACAAAACACAAAGTCATGAACGGGCACTGGGTCTTTACTAACTGGAACCATGATTTCTGTCTGAATACAATTTTTGTTGCATAATTTAATATAGAAGTTTTTATGTTTTTAATGTCTTTCTTACTATGTGTTGCATCCTGTCAGTCCCTGTGATGAACTGAGCGTGACCTCCTCCTTCCTTGGCCAACCCATTGATAAGAGCAGAGCTGGCCCCTTCCCCAATCCCAAAAGAGAAACACCTACAATACAGTAGTTTTGTTTTTAACACACACAGCACAACAACATGGGCCAAACTCTGCTAATTGTTGTGTTTGTTGTGTTCTGTGTTTTTGTGGCCTCACCTGTGGGAACCTGAATTCTTCTTCACCAGATTCATAATGTCTTTGGTGTTCCACACCTCTCCATCAGTGAAGACAAATAGCTAGAGGAGGAGAGTTTGCATATCACTCAAAGCAGGGTGCGAACTATGGGGGAGTCAGGCGGTGTGTGTGCACGTGTGTGTGTGTGTGTGTGTATATATCACCTGTCTAGGATGATTGAGTATGCAGGGCTGACTGTAAATGTGTTCGAGGGGCCTCAGGATCTCTGTTCCTCCCAGATCAGCGCCCATCTCCTCAACTTTCTTCAGAGCCTCTTCCATGGTCTTCTGGCTGTACTCCACACTCTTACTGCCATCACAAACACACACATGCAAGAACAATAACACCAAAGACAGGAATACATTTGTTGGACCGAGTGACATGAGTGACTTACGGGAAGATGTGTTCATAGCTGGACCCGAAGCTGTAGATGTTGAAATAGCAGCCCATTGGTAAGCTTTTCAAAAGGAGCAGCAGAGTATCCTTAAAGGGAAGAGAGAAAAGATAGTGAAGGCCACTGTGTGAGAGGGACACTGAATGATTTTATTACACAATGTACACATGATGGTTACCCTGGCACTGCCAATGCGAGTCTGATCACTACTGCTGTTGTTCATAGGACAATCCATACTTCCAGATCGATCCAATAAGAACACAAACTCTCCACATGAGGCGACTGAAGACATCACAGCCTGGGGGAACTCAGGGTACAGGCTCAGCATCACCACTGGATCACCCATCAGAGTGCCTGAAACACAGACGAGAGACAGAAAAATGACCACAAATAAGGATTTCACTATTTATTCCAACATCCGTAACCAGAGGTGGAAAGAGTACAAAAATATTCTACTTAAGTACGATTACTTTGATGAACTGTTACTTAGTTAGCAACAAGTAAAATTACTGGTATAAAAATAAAAAGTAGCTCATTTAAAATTTACTCAGAGTAAACATTACTTAGTTAACCTACTTTTTTAACCTAAAATAACTTATTTATAGCCTACTGATTTAATATCTTATATGCTTATTATCATTTGATTTAATTAAATGATAATAAGCATATAAGATATTAAATCAGCCATATTGTGCTTTCCATTTTAGTTTGTTTGACAGATAGGCCTACTTTGCCTAAGCAAAACAACTTTAAAGACCTTTCATGTCATAATAAGAAGTTTTTAGAATGTTTTCGTTTCGTAATGAAACTGTGGCAAAACAGGTTAGACTATGACGGGCCTCATTGGACTGGGAAAATGAGAATCACTGGACTGTAGCCTTTATAAAGTCATATCCTTATTTACATTCAAACAGGTGGTAGGCCTACTTTTAATGGGGCATAAGAGTTAATTATAATCTATTACCAGCATGTTGGTAGTGCCAACCAACAATGCACCGATGTCTTTTGGGTTAATTTGAGCAAAGCCTTTTACAAAACTATGAAACAACTATGTAAATCAGGAGCGTCAGACCTCCACTTCCTCTTGCTGCAGACAGTCGGTGATGAAGTCCAACGCTCATGTTTTACACATGACCCATTTTCTACTGCAGCTGGGGACTTTCCGTAGCTAGAGTCATTCCTGTCTTTGAGGTACTTCAAACAAAACATACTTAAGTAAAAGCAAAATTAAAGAGTACACAAGAAAACACTCAATTATAATAACACGAGTAACTGTAATTTGTTACTTTCCACCTCTGCATGTAACTCACCCATTGGAGGATGATGAACTCTTCCATTACAAAGTAACAACTTCACTAAAGTTTACTCACCAGGCTTGGCAGAGGCCTGTCCTGCCTCCACCACAGCAGTGGGCTGGTGGGCATCTTTGTAATAAATCAGCAGCTCAACATCTCTGTCAAACTTGTGTCCTGCAGCCAACTTCACCTGCAGATCACAAAACACATTTATACCTATAAATAAAGTGATACATCTTGTATTGAAGAACACAGCGCACATTAGACATCTCTACCTACCGTGGCCTGCGTTTGCTCTGTGTTGAGGTACTGCAGAGGGTCCAGGGAACAGTTGGACTCTACTTTAGAGACTGGACGAGGAGAGGACACTCGGGCAGAGAAGGACAGACTGTAGGGCACCAGAGAGGCTGGAACAGCAGTCACCTGGACACTGGCACCGTCACTACTTCCGCATGCTGTGAACAAGTTAGAAATGCAACAATCAAAGAGCATTAACTTACAATTAACTAAAACAACTAAAACACTAAGAGTCTATATCCATGATCCACAGAGCAACAGAACTTTCAATCCCTAGAGCAAAGTTCATCCTTTCATCTTCATTTCAGACAAAACCCAATGGATGTTTGTATGAAAACACTGAAAGTCAGTGTGAATATAGACATGTTTGCAAATCTCCCTGCTTTGAGTTGCTCTTGGGCAGTCTAGACATGATCAGTGATCGGACCCAAAGACCATACTTTGGTACACCAGCATCTCTACATATCTACAGATATATTTCACACTAAGCTGAAGGGTTCCACGTGAAGGTGTTGGCTGGTGTTCCTACCCTGAGGTTGGTAGCGAGGGTTGAGCACAGCAGGCAGGCAAAACCGCAGCCCGTCATCAGCCTGCACAGCCAGCTCAGTGACGTACTCCAGCCTGATGGAGGCGCTCTCTCCTGGAGGCAGACTGCCCACACTCAGAGAGAATACATCTGGACTCTGATCACTCTCCTCCAATAGGAAAGCCTGCTGACCTGAGCTCAAAGCGTCATCATACTCCTCCCGAGCCTGAAGTGCAGATGACACATGTGAGGAACATTCACTGTGATTTTAAGGAACACCGTAGTGAGTAAGTCTTTACTGTCCAGCTCACCTCCTGCTTCTCCTTCACCTCAGCTACAATCTGTGTCTGTCCGATCTTAGCGCTGAAATGACAGACAGCAGCATCTCCAGGCAGAGGGAAGACAAAAACAGCCTCCAGTGGTTTGTCCTCCTTGTTCTCATAGTTCAGAGTGGAGACCACTGTAGCCACATGGTCCCTCACCTCCACCTCCACCTCCACACTCTTCAGAGGAACTGACAAAGAAACAGAATAAAATCTTCACAATCTAGAAATGTTTTACAGTACACATCAGTGACGATAAGTGTACTTAAAGGGAAAAAAAGTATTTTCCTTCTTTGCTTATTCATGAAATTGAATTAAATTTTGACTAGAAAAGCTCCTTCGCTTCCTCCCTGTGGCTGGAACACAAATATCTGCAGCAACTTACATCACCTTTTTTCTTGGTTTCAACTCTTTACCTGGTTCCTTCCTGGCAGTGAGCAGACCAGAGCAGATCATTTTTGTACCTAATGTAACACACAACAATGGAGAATAAAATGTTGTAAAGCTATTCTTTTGGCATCTAAATGATGTTTCAGTTTTCCAAACATAGCCAAAGACAATTACAGTAAGTGAATGTGAGCAAAACTGAAACTACCAAAAACTTTATATAAATCCCCCAAATTTAGTCAACAAATCACCCAAATATTACATGGTAATAACCAGTGTTGGGAGTAACGTGTTTCAAAAGTAACGCAATTACAGTAATGTATTGAATTTTGCTGAAATGCAGTAATAACGCATTACTAAAATAAATAAAAAAAGGAATCCGATGGTCGAGACTGTAGGCAGGGTGCAAACTAGGGGGGAGCTCGACTCCTCTTAACAAGACTGTAGGTCCCCTGATGGATCATGAGTAAATAGATATCTACAGGTGCAAACTCGAAAAATTAGAATATCGTGCAGAAGTTCATTTATTTCAGTAATTCAACTTAAAAGGTGAAACTAATATATTATATAGACTCATTACATGCAAAGTGAGATATTTCAAGCCTTTTTTGATATAATTTCGATGATTATTGCGTACAGCTTGTGAAAACCCCAAATTCAAAATGCCTCTCCATTCTTCCTCCAGACTCTGGGACCTTGGTTTCCAAATGAGATGCTAAATTTGCTCTCATCAGAAAAGAGGACTTTGGACCACTGAGAAACAGACCACTTCTTTTTTTCTTTAGCCCAGGTAAGACGCTTCTGACGTTGTTTGTTGTTCAGGAGCGGCTTGACAAGAGGAATACAACATTTGAAGCCCATGTCCAGGACCCGTCTGTGTGTGGTGGCTCTTGATGCAGTAACTCCAGCCTCAGTCCACTCCTTGTGAAGCTCCCCCACACATTTGAATGGCCTTTTCCTGACAATCCTCTACGGTCATCCCTGCTGCTTGTGCACCTTTTTCTTCCACACTTTTCCCCTTCCACTTAACTTTCTATTAATGTGCCTTGATACAGCGCTTTGAGAACATCCAACTTCTTTTGCAATTACCTTTTGAGGCTTTCCCTCCTTGTGGAGGGTGTCAATGATGGTTTCTGCACAACTGTCAGGTCAGCAGTCTTCCCCATGATTGTGAAATCCACTGAACCAGACTGAGAGACCAATTAAAGGCTCAGGAACCCGTTGCAGGCATTTTGAAATATCTCACTTTGCATGTAATGAGCCTATATAATATATTAGTTTCACCTTTTAAGTTTAATTACTGAAATAAATTAACTTTTGCATGATATTCTAATTTTTCGAGTTTCACCTGTATAGGCTGTGTGTTTGTGCTTTAACGAATTACTTTCATGATCAGAGAGGCTACTGTCAGTTCATCCTGACCGATCCTGTCCTAGATTTGTACTGGGGAGTATACTGATTCCTGAGAGTCGGGACAAAACATGTCCCACATAGAAAAGTCTAATTTATAGCAAAAATTAAGAAATTCAGCATGTATGGCATACTTACAAAGTTAAATCTGAAGGAATTGTATATACCCATCTGATTTTCAGAATAAACTTTTTTATCTTTTTGGGGAAAAGTTGTTTAAATATATGGTCTGTGGTTAGATAGTCCATGTTATTGCACTTGTCCTCAGCATGAAGTTACAATATTAACCATCCCAAAAAAAATGAAAAAAGCTCTACAATTGTGAAAACATATATATCAAATAAAAATAAGGGGTATAAATATAAAAAACAATGCATGAAGTGAACATCAAACAATATTTTCCATAAAATCTGCCTATTAAAGTTGCGTCCTCAGCTTCTGTCAACTCCGTCAGATTTTTTCATAAAGCTCTTTAAATCAGGAAATAGCATGGTCAGCTATATCCTTGAGGACCCCTTTTTATCTCCCTGTCTGTGGTGAATGCAGCACTACCACACATGCTCTGGTAAGTTTGACATTTTTTTATATTTTAGACAAACAATGTCAATATTCCTTTGGTCACAGCTGCACAATGTCAATACCATCTTTCGTTTAAGATACTTTTTTTAAACCATAGTGGATTGAATTAAAGCATTTTAGTGAGGTTATTGGGACAGTTAGCAACTGAGGAAAAACTACCTAGCTGCAGTGTAAAATACATGTTTTGGCGGGAAAATACATGCCCTTACGTCAACTCCGTCAGACGTCAACTCCGTCAGGTTCTATGTCTGACAGAGTTGACCTGTAAGCTGATGGAGTTGACAAATCTACCAATAACCTCTTAATGTGTGAATATAATATTATTTGTGAATATAGTGAAGAGTTAAACTGTTATTTCAGGGTTTTATTTAGACATAAATGCACATACATAGCATGCATTACATTATTTAACCATACACATCTGACTTGTAGAGAATGGTGAGGCAGTGGTCTGCTTATTATTGTGTAACGTGTAACTTTGCCAGCACATTAATATATATATATATATATATATATATATATATATATATATATATATATATATATATATATATATATATATATATATTGTGTATATGTATATGTAGAGACAGAGATAGAGAAATTAGAAGCAAATGTAGGGCTGGGGGGCGATATGACCAAAAAAACATTTATCATGATCTGAATTATCAAAATCTGATTCTATAGTCTTATTCATGTACATTTTCCTTTATTTAAATTTGTATTGTAGGGAAGCATGGCCAGACAGAAATTGTCAGTTGAGGAGCAAAGGAGAAGAAATAGAGAGTACCAACAAAAGAGAAGAGAAAAATTAAACAGTGACCAAGAGAGCAAGCATGCTATGCAAGAGAAGGAAAGACAAAGGTGGAAGAAGAGAGTTAAAGACAAAAAAGTAAAACAAATAGACGAGATGGGAGACAGGGCAAAGAGGAATTTGAGAAAGTATTGGAGAGAGGCACAGAAAAGGTCCAGAGAGAAAAGATCCAAGGAAGATGCAGTGCTGAAGGCACACACCCCTCCAGATAGTCCGCAAGATCATGATATTCAAGAATACAGTGCCAGACACAGCAGACAGTCTCTCAGACAGGAAAGGGAGAGAAGTAAAACGAGAAAAAGACATTCAAGAGAAATAAAAAAATTGAAAGAGAAGCTTAAGAAGGTAACAAAGCAACGAAACAAAATGAGAAAGAAAATATATAGAAGAAGAAACGCTACAAATAAAACACCACTTGACCAGTCAAATTAAGAAAACGAGAGATTTACAGCATAGCCCCTGATGTGATGGACTTCATAGAGCGTATGCATGTCCGACGCCTGCTGCTCAAGGCATAAGTGCAGGTTAGACAAAAATTAAATCTTAAAGGGTTAGTTCACCCAAAAATGAAAATTCTGTCAGTATTTACTCACCCTCATGTTGTTCCAAACCTCTATGTGTTTATTTGTTCTGCTGTACACAAAGGAAGATATTTGGAAGAATGTTTTAATCAAACAGATCTCATTCCCCATTGACTACCATAGTATGTATTTTTTCCTACTATGGTAGTCAATGGGGAATGAGATCTGTTTGATTAAAACATTCTTCCAAATATCTTCCTTTGTGTACAGCAGAACAAATAGAGGTTTGGAACAACATGAGGGTGAGTAAATACTGACAGAATTTTCATTTTTGAGTGAACTAACCCTTTAACTAAGCTAACTGAACCTGATTCTAAGCTACAGATTATGTGTTGCAGTATTGTTGTCAAGGAATGTCCATTTAAGACCACACCCAGTATAAAGTAGGCAGTGCAGGGCAATCCCACATCCAACACATCCACCCACACAGACACACACACACGCACACCACTTTAAAGTAAATGGCTACTTACAAAGGATGAAAGGAAGAGGAGAAGAGGTGGATGAGAAAAAGGAGAGCATAAGAAGTTGTATAGGGGAGGTAGATGAAAACAGAAGGGGAGGAGGGCCCCTGGTTTCTGGCTTTTTTTTGATATTTGGAAATGGTGTAATTTATAATAGCTGTAAACGGTGTATGTGCAATATGTTTATTATAGTTGCTTTACAGTAAGTTCAATACTCTAATAACAAGGAGTAGTTTTAGTAGTAGTTTAAAGAGCACATCTGTTCAATAATCACAATGCACATATTTTTTTGTCAACACCGTCAGATCTTCATCAACACCGTCAGATCTTCATCAACAGCGTTGGATGTATGTTTTTGTTAATTTTTTGGGAAAAAATGTTTTCTTCCTTCAGTTTATGTTGTTTTTTTAAATAAAGGACCATCTGATCTAAATCTTCTTATGTTTTGTTTATTTAAGGAATTTGTTTTTACAATTATAAAATCAAAGTTTGAAAATGCAAATATTTAGAAATCTGAGTTTTCAGAATCGTGTGAAATCACAACTTAAGTTTATATATTGTATTTTTTTACATATCAGTGTAACTAAACACTACTACAATATACTTCAGAAGTTTATATTCTTGTTGGATTGGAAGAATTAAAATTGTATACTTTTTAGTGTGTCTGACGGAGTTGACACAAATCCAGCTCTGAAGGGAAACATGTTCATTTGTTAAAAATATGTTTTTATTTAGAACCTGTTCCTTTAAATGGTTAAATAGCTAAGACCTTTCTCTGCAGAAACATACAACTCTAATTGATATACTGTGTATTTTTTTTTTTTTTTATTTTAAAAAGTGTTTTGTCCCAACTCTCAAGAATCAGTACAAAACGCCCAGGTGAACAACGCTTATTGTATTAAGTGAAAGGAGAAGATCAGCCATCACATTTCATATTTCCAGGAACTGAAAGAGGGGAAGACAACACGGTCTTCCGGTAAAGGATTGCTTTCATTCAGTGACTTCAGTGTCTGTGTTTGATACTAACAAAAAGTAGCCTAGTTACACGAAAGAAATGCATAGGCCTACCTTTGAAGAGAAGGATTTATGTATCCGGTGCAGTTTATAGATGTTTCCTCGTGCAGATATGGAGTCAACAGAAACGGTCCAAGCAGATGCGGACAGATATCCTCAATGACTCAACAGAAAGTGCTCCCTCTGTGCTCCCACCCTCGGGCGCTTGATTCATACTAGACATTGGGTGGGTGTTGCTTGTTGCACTGCTTCGGTTTCTAATTTGTAATGGAAATGGAAATCAACTCCAGCAAACAACTCCAACTACAGCAAATTAACTGATCCCAGACTATTGCATTGTGAAGTTTACTAAACTAATTAACAGTTCATTTTAAAAGAAGCGTCAAGTAGTCAACACATCAGGAAGTGTTTATATTTTGTTCACTGGTAGCCTAACTTCCTAATTTCTATCATGTTTCCTGTCCCTGTTCCTGTCATAATTATTCAAAGGTGTCAAAATCAGACTGAAGTCAAGCCAGCCTCCACTTCGAAAACGACAGTCAAGCCAGCCCTCGCGCTGTTTTGCGATGCATGTTTTTTCTAGACATTACGGTAACATCGTGTCGCAGCACATTTCAAAATAAAAGTGAGCTTCTGCTGAACATAATGAACATAATAAATAAATAAATAAATAAATGCTTAAGACACCACAAGTATCTAAAGAAAATATTACATTCTCATTCAGTTTTTGGGATTTCAATGTTGATTTATCTTCACTGGAGCTTCTCAGCAGCTAGCTTCCGTGCACATCTGGTTCCAGTGTTGTTGTTAGCGTCGTTAGCTCTGTCGGACTACCACTTCATATTTATATAAAAACCAGACAAAAATGGACATTACAAAGCGAGGAGGTTGGACTACCTGGCAAGTTCAGAAAACATGTGTCTGTAACTTTATTCCGGCTATCATTGTACTTTACTGTGACCAAGTTAGCATAGCATAGCCCTGATCGATCCAAACTCCATTCAGAAAACAAACATTTTAGAAGTTGTTGTTGTTGCTGCTGTCTTGCTGGCAGACCTGACAAAGCATGAATTCATGTTTAACAAATCTGCATCATGTTGTAGTTATTTCGGCAGCAGCTTAATCCGTTTATTACGATTTAATCACAGCAAAATGTTTACTTTGGGTTCATACAGAGTTGTGTTTATTCACCTTATTGCGTTAAAATCGCCTTCTCGCGTTGTGTGTGAGCACTTGCAGCAAGGAAAGCTTTGCAAGGTGAAATTTCGCGGTTGGGTTTACCCACAGCCCATTATTAAACCTGCATCCCCTTCTGTTCTAACCTGGTTCTGCTGTCAGTTTCTTAGCAGCTCAGGCAACAAACACATCAGAAATGTCATAATACAGATCATCTGGCCAAAAGAATGATTTACCACTGTGCTATATGTACTGTTTGAACACTGTTTTGGGAGGTGAGTGTATGAGATATTGACTGAAACATGGAGAGCACAGCTACTCTCACAATTTTGACATGTCTCACATCTTTCTTCTCCATTTACAAGGTAAATTTAATCATCACGTTACAACAGGGTTGTAAAAAGTTATACACTCCACTGTGTATAATATACAACATTTGTCAAATGCATGCCACATTATGGCAACCATTTCACACCTGAAACAGCAAAAGTTTGTGAACCCTTTAGAATTTTCGGTATTTCTACAGACATATGACCTAAAACATACTCAGATTTTAACACAGAGTAGAAGAGACATAAATAGTATCCTTGTGGGAAATGTATGTGAACTTTTGCTTTTAGGATCACAGAAAAATAGTTGTTGATGCTCATCGAGGCTGAAAAAGGTTGCAAAACCATCTCTAAAGAGTTTGGTCTCCACCAATCCGCAGTCAGATAAACTGTGTACAAATGGAGGAAATGGAAGACCACTGCTAGCCTGCATAGGAAGGTCACGGAGGAACACAGACTTGCTTCTAAGCAACAAAATACCTCTCTAACATTTGCTAATGTTTATAAGTCCAACATCAGGAGCATACTGAACAACAATGGTGTGCTTGACAGGGCTGCAAGGAGAAAGCCACTAAAGGAACATTCATGCCTATCTGCAGTTTGCTCAAGATTATGTTTGGCAAAAGGAAAACATTCCAGCATAATAACCTTATTCCATCTGTGAAACATTGTGATGGTGGTGGTATCGTGATCTGGGCTTGTTGTGTTGCATGTGGGCCAGGAGGGCTAGCCATTGTTGATGGAACAATAAATTCTGAATTTTAATAGCAAATTCTCAATGAAAGTTCAGGACATCTGTCCATCTACTGAATAAGAGAATGTGGGTCATACAGCAAGACAACTACACTAAGCACACAAGTTGCTCTACCAAAAAAGGGTTAAAGAAGAGTAGAGTGAATGTTTTGGAAGGTCAATTCAAAGTTCTTACCTTGAAATGATCGAAGGGTAAGGAAGTTAGCAGCTCATGCAAGGAAACCCACCAACATCCATGATTTGAAGCTATTCTGTACAGAGAGCTGAGATTCCTCCAAGTCGATGAGCAGGACTGTTTAACAGTAACTGGAATGTTTAGTTGCAGTTATTGCTGCACAGGGGGGTAAGACCAGATCCTATAAGCAAAGGTTCACACACTTTTACCACTGGCAGATATGCAACAATAGATAATTTTTCTCAATGAATAAAAGACCACAGATAATATTTTGTCTTATTTGTGGAAGTTAGTTCTGTTGATCTATTTTGTGTGAAAATCTGAGTATGTTTCAGGTTATATTTGTGCAGAAATTCTAAAAGGTTCAGAAACTTCTAGCACCACTATATAGCATAATTCCAATGGTAATAATAAATGGCATAATATTAACATGTACAAGATATGGTATTGACCACATACTCCACCCCTGTTATTGAAAGAGGGAAAGCTTCCTCTTTGCAAATGCCGATCACCCAGTGTTCACCTGATCATCAGTCAGGGCCACAGTGCTGACTTTGTATGTGCGGGCATACTTGCTGAGGCCCAGCAGGTCGAGGCTGGCAGCTTTTCTGCACAGGTAACTTCAGCTTTTTCAAGGTTTTCCTCATCTACGTGTTTTCTGAATAACATACACACATAAATACCAATTTGTTTTTACTCATAAAAGGAGGAGCTGCCCTCATAAAACATAGTAGATTTAAAACAGCTTAATCCTAAGAGTTTTTCCCTTGTGAAAGCATGAATGTTGTTAACAAATTTTATAACTGTTTAACACTAATTCATGGAGGTAGGAACTGCTCAGGCACTTTTGTGCACTAAAATGTTACCAAATTTGTGAGATTACAGAGGACGACACTAGGATGCCAAAGACAATGGTGAACAATTGTGTTTGGTGAAAGTTTAACGAAAAAGCCAAAGTAGTCTATTTTGCTTTCTAACTTTGTTTTTGCATACTATTGTAGAATATCAGCCAGAAGATTATGTAATATGGCCTCACAGACCTGACATCCCGAGAAGACATTCTCAGCGTTGACAGCCTCTTTTTTTGAAAAATGTAATTATGTGTTGGCAAGGGCGTCACTTTGCTGAGTGGTTGGTCAATGCTGAAATATTTGATATATGACATTTTGTACGTTAAACACTTAAATTCCTGTATTCTGGAGAATAAAACCTTTTCTCAAAGCATTTTCATTTGTTATCTAACATTTCTTGTTGCAAGCTATTTTTCATAACATTTTAACAAGTTATGCTTTCAAAAAGTAAAGGGGACAAAAGTAGCCACTTCAAAAAGTGGTGGGGACATGCCCCCAGTGTCAATGACACCTATGGTTTTTGGACTTACTACGGACCTCGAAAAATGTTCTTACCTTGCAGCCATAGATTGTACATTTATGTTAATTCATAATATTATAGCGTTAATAATTGCCATTGGAAATATACTATACAGTGGTGCTTGAAGTTTCTGAACATCCAATGCCATTGAAAGTATGTATGTGCATTATATGTTGAATAAATGTTTAAGACTTGTATGGATTCTCTTCACTTGCATTACACAATGGGAGTGTTGTATGTTATACACACCGGAATATGTATGGAGAAGAAAAATTCAAACAGTACATATAGCACAGTGGTAAATCATTCTTTTGGCCAGATGATCTGTATTATGACATTTCTGATGTGTTTGTTGCCTGAGCTCTTAAGAAGCTGAGAGCAGTGTTAGAACCAGATTAGAACAGAAGGGCATGCAGGTTTAATACTGGGCTGTGGGTGAATGAAGATGGTAACTGGGTTACAAATAAATCCTTAATAATAAAAAACCAAATGAAATGAAGAACAATAAATACATCAGTAACCTGGATTTAAAGAGGTATTATGCTTTTTGGCTTTTTCCCTCTCCTTTATTGAGTTATATATCTTTTTTGTGCATGTAACAGGTTTGCAAAGTGAAAAAGCCCAAAGTCCAGCCCAAAGGGAGTTCCCATCTCCCACAGAAAGCTCTGCTCTGAACCGCTTGAAAACAGCTTGTTTGTAGTCCAGCCCTTCACTTCCTTTACTTGTGATGTCACAATTAAAACGCGTCATAAAGCTTGCCAAGCAGCTAGTGGGGTCAGGCACACCCTTTGGCTGGTTTTCCATTGTAGAAATGTTGCACCTGTACTTGCTTCCAGGTACTTTTTTTCATATCCCGTCACCTCCGTCGAGGTTCCAAGCGAGCTGAGGGATACTAAAATGTAATGTGAAAACACGACTGCTGATTGATCAGAGAGAATATTATAATATTCACTGCATCATCATTGCGTGTGCCAGACAGAGGCCAGCATCAGGAAGTTTTATATTTTACAGTTTTCATAAGAAATTTCATCACTAAATCCACTTCTGAGAAGTTTTGAGGTGAGAAATAAACAGTGTAGATTTCGAATACTGAGAGTTTTACGAGAAGTGACGGCTGAACAAAAATCTGCTTGAATATTTTCGGAGTTGAGGAGCTCCGCAAGTGGCGGCGGGGGAAGCGTTTGTTTCTTTGCCACTTGAGAGCAATAAAGGCAGAGAGATGTCGAATGTCAGGAGGAAACTCCATTCAGGTTTTTCTCTTTGTACGCACAAATAAAAGGACTTGATTCACACAGTTGACTATTTTAGTTTTCTATTACAATACCTTCATGAGGCTCCCCAAATAGTGGGAAAGATTGTCACATGTAACAAGCGGTGATGTTAAAGTTCAAGGTGAATACTGCAGGTGACATATTCATAAAATTGAGGATTGACAAATTGTGTCTTATTATTATGTCTGATTTTAGAAATACAAGCGATGTGAAGTTATTTAAAAAAATATAAAAGTATGTTCAGGTCAATGTGAACTCTTAAACACTACCTTACTTCACTTTATAAGTCTTTAGGCTTGTCTGTTATAGCAATTCTGTATACTACAGTGATTGATATACCTGAACACATCTTCTGTCACCTTCATAGCACAGAATTAAACAGGCATAATCAAAAGCACATTTATAATTACATATTTTGCAGCATCCAAAATACTTTGTCAGCCTTAAATATGTGTCCCCTCACATTGATGCTAAAGGGCTTGTATTTCTTCATTCACACATTCTTCAGACTTTTATTTTCACAAGTAAAACTGATTCATGTACAATTAAGATTTAAGGCAAAAGAACAACTCTTTGTCACATGTCGGAACCTGGTTGGATGTAGTATCTTGCAAATTAGTCAAAACATATTTTACCACATCAGTTAATATGCAAGGGCTTAACAAACAGCTGCATAACTAAATGTGAACAGTGCAAAAATGATAAAGTTTGTGGAATAGATCTGCTTCTGTGTACCAGTCCTGAAGGAGAAGCCACTTTAATGAAAACCTCAGAGCCCCAGGGCGTCTTTCTGCACGTTGCAACCCAGCAGAGCATTTCCAGCTTCCACACACTCTGTCACACATGGTGCTGGAAGAAAAACACACAAAACAAGTCATCAGCAGAGGAGACTGAATGTGGGCAAACAGCTGATTTTTACTGGCACACACTGTTAAAAACAGCAGACTGGCTCTTATTGTTTTGGTTATTACCATTCTGAGCACGGAGCCATGACACAGCCTTCATAGCCAGAAGCTCCCACTCTTCCTGAGCATCCATCTTGAAACCATGAAGCCAGATCAGAGCCAGAATGGTGGCCCACACTTCCTGGTTCACCTAATTCACCAAGAGAAAAAATATGGAACAGGCGAACAAAGAACGAAGAACAAAGAAGAGACAGCGTAAAGGGAAAATGCTGCTGGATGGTTTTGAACAATGTTACTTTCTAATGTTACTTTTGAGTTCCTTTCACTGCTATTTAATGGGTGAATTATTCTGATGGTAAGATGTGCCTGCATAGGTGGGTTCTAGTGATGTGCAGGCAGACCTCTGCCTCAGGATCTCAAGGTACGTGCTGGTGTATGTGGGACTAAAAGGTCAGAAAGGGCGAGAGACCATTAAGAGCTTTAAAAATGATCATTTCTAAAACATACTGGGAGCCAGGTATACATTGGTTCTCAGAGGGTGCTTAGGGGCTTGAGTATCACCAGTATTTTTGTTTTCATGCACTGACATATCTTTTGTCTTTCAAATCTTCATTTTCATTTCTTTTGGTTTGTTTAATGTTGTGTTGGTTTGGTTCCATATGTTTTATTACTTCTTCTCTATTGTTTCTATATAAACCATGTCATGAAAACTATCTTATAATTAACCCTTTTATTATTATTATTTTTGACCATAACCCACCGATGCAGGTTTAGGGTTCTCCACCTCCTCGCTGGTCTTTCCCAGTGCAGCAGCCAGAGCTGGATCCAGCACCCAGCTGCCAGACGCCTTCTGGAGGGAGACCAACTGCAGCAAAGGGTCTCTGGGCGGCTGTTTGGGCAAGTGGATTTCTGAGGAGAAAATCAAAGAAAAGAGCAAAGATAAAATAATCTGTTTCCCATTTTTGCCTATTTGATATTAATGTGTTGATATACTGTAGTTAAACATATTTGAGTGCATTTTGCCGATTAGTTTTTGAATGTACATCATAAAGTCATTTTGTTGCTACCACTGGGGAATCATTCTATCCTCACCTTTTATGACAATTATTGAAAATTAAACATTAAAAATTTTAGCCTCTCTTCTCATGTAAGTTGGGTTTATAGTACTAAAATAAACTGTGTCTGACTAAGAAATTAAATAAGTCACAAAGTCTTGAATTGATAATGTATAGAATCAATAAAGAACCAGATGTGGGCAAAACAAGAGTCTACAGCCATGTTAGCAGCTCTGCGAGTTTGCGCTTAGGCACAGTGGTGCTTTGAGCTAAATGCAAACATGCTCACAATGATAATGTTTACAGGTATTTGGTCATAAATCAAAGTATTAGACAAAACAAACATTTGACCTGTGCAACATGAAAACTTGAGGGAGACACAAGTGTGTGCTCCACATTTGATGGAAAACCATCTAGTAGTTGTCTTCAATAACCTCTTACTTACCATCCAAGCTGCATGGAGAGACAGTGTCATCAAACAGTGAATCCTCACTTGCGTCCATCACTTAAAGCAAAAAAGAGAAGTGGAATGTTACACAAAGGCAACAACAGTAAGTATCAGGAAGAAGTTTCTGAAGTTTCAGTGACCTAAAATGAACAAAACAGTGTACGTGTGGACAGGGTCTGAGTCACAAAAAACCCTAGTCCTTTCACAGCTCTGCTTGTGAGTTAAACCATATATTGCCACCAGAAGAAATTAATCTAATGTGGTGCTTTTTGTTTTGCTTCGATTCGGGTGAGCAACACATCTTTTTGTGGTCAATGGTTGCATAAGGATAAAAATGTTTAAAGAATTATTTCACAACAAAAAGGCCCCAAAAATGAACGTTAAACTGTAAAATGCATGACTCCGTAAAGTCCATTAAAGGTATTATTTGGCAGCTGTCAAGGTGCAGAGCAAACAGTGAACAGTGTTCACTATTATATGTAATAATATATAATACTATATGTAATATCTGCACTGACATGCTGTAAATAATAAAATGTGCTTTATTATTCTACTTTCTTTCTACTTACAATCAGCATCACAACTGGATGGTATCTGTGGAGGCTGGTAATGAGCAGCACCATCAGTCTGCAGAAGCTTCTGAACTGGTTTCCTCAAGAGACCCTTCTTCTTATTCTTCTTATCCAACACTGTTATGTTATAAACATCTGATAAATATATAAACGTCTGATATAGCTTACGCCTCAGTGCCACAGAACTCATTGACTGGTCAAAAACTATTATTATCATTATTATTATTATTTTTAAGAATACACACAGAAGCCACATTGGGCATTTTAGTGAAATGTGCTTTTATTATGATTAACACCTCCAGTGTAGTTTATTCCTTTAGCAGTCTGCCCAGCAAAGAGCTACTCTCCAGTGTAGTGGGACAACAGTGTGGATTTGTGCATTTTATTAAATAAATTTGGAGCTACTCCAAATCCCTCTTTTCCTCTCCCAGAGAGGAGCAGGGGTGTTAAAGATCAACTTCAACAGACTGCTAAAGAGACCCCAACAGAAAGGGGGTGGAAAAGTTGCTTTCTCTAAGTGCTATCCTTGAGCAGCCTGATCATAAAACTGGCACCTTTTTGATCTACAAAGCTGATAACGCGGTGCCTGACTGTTAAACTGACAAAGGGACATTAACCAACAGCATTTCCCTGAACAGCCTATCAGAATCTCCTTGGATGGGGCAGGAAATCCTAAACTGCCCCCCCCCCCCACGTAACTGTGGCAGCTGACCTTGCTCTGTGTTTCATTACCCCATCAAAGGGATACTCCTTGTCTCACCTAAGTGTGATATAACCCAGGACAGCCAAACTTTAAATAACCAAAGATTGCAGTCTCCAAAGACTCAAAGCATTTAATTAAGTTTAATTAAATCTTTGTTACCATGTTGTTGCTATCTCTTGTTGATATTAGTGCTGAAAAGAATCTAAATAAGTTACTTTTGCAGTGTTTTTTTTTATTTTCAGCAAGATTAAGGACACCCCTTCATCTTATAGTGTAACCAATGCTTGTTCACAATACTTTCTCACAAAATTCCTTTAGAAATGATGATAAAGAAATGTCATACTATACTCTATTAATTATCCAGCTTGAATTTAAGAATTCCCCAGTTCCTAAGGAAAAGATTGTTTTGGGTTAATCTAAGCTTTCCTCATGTAACCTGAGCTCCCCCAAGTGGACGAAATAAGTATTACACACCATCGTTGGAATTGGCGTTAATGTATAAATGTCGCCCACTTATCCTGTTACTAAATGCTTAACTTAAAACTGTACAGCTGTTTGACCATTGAGGTTTGATTGTGGAAAATATTTGATTATAATACGCGCAAATAGATTTTGTTTTTTAGACATTTAAAGTTTAGAAAGGCAGTCCCTCGGGAAACCGGAAATGTTCCCTTGGGAACAAAGGACTGCCCTCTGGGGAACCACGCCCCAGACAACAAAAGAGCGACACGCGACGTCGTTCGCTCTCTCTGCTCTGCTCTTCCCCTCATGCCCTGGTCTTCCGCTCTGCTCTCTGGACGCTTCGGCACACGTCCGGCGTGCCTCTCCAGGCAACGCCCTAAGAGTTCGACCAGCGCAACAGGCCTTTGTTCATTTGAAGCTACACACGCGAAGTGCCGCGACATCGATCTGTCCCTCAGTTTGTTTTATTTTCTTTCTTTCTTTTGTTTTGTTAAAGTTATCAGTCCATTAAGTTACACTGCACTAATTCAGGAACGACCAAGTTCCCTTTTAAGCTTGTTCGTGAGCCAACTTCACCGAGGTCAGACCAAGCCACGTGGTCTCGCCAGCGGCAACGAAGGAAACCTGAAAACAGCCGAATTGCCAGACGGAGGAGGCGTTTTCTTCAGTCAGACACGGAGAACCCCGGAGAATCCCTAGTAAGCTAGTGTGGGACCCATGCAACAGGCCAAAGCAGGCCGTCGACAAGCCGTAAGATCTAACAAACATTCTGTGATCGGGGATGTCCGGTAATGTCAATATTTCCCTTTTAACTCCTAAACTCATAGCTTACTTTCATTAGTTCTCCTCTGCTGTATGAGTCAAATGCTTCCCACAATCGAACCTCCATTTCTCATTGTTCAGCCATTGTTTATTTTCCCTGTATTTAACAACCCGTTTATATTGCTTTAGTAAACGTTAGTTAATAAATTCACTGTAATCAAGAAACTGTGTGTGTTGCCTATTTCCAAGTCCCTGCCAAGAGAATTGACCCTTTAGATATGAGACTGACTGATTGATTTAAGATAATTTATCGATTATTATCTAACGGATCACTAGTAATAATTGTATAATTATTAAAAGCTACCTAGAGGTCCGGAGACTCTAGGATTATAACAACTCCGGTGGTGCCCCGAAACGAGGAATATTTTTTTGATTTTATGAATATTAAAATTCATAATTGGGTATTAATTCTAATAAATTTATTAAAATTCATAACTAATTTAGCCATGCTACACCAGACATCAAAAATGCATGTGCAGAGTTGTTTCAGAATAAATCCACTAGCAGTGATCATTATGAAGCAATATGTCACCCAATGCAATGGTATGGCTCTGTAACGTGGGACAATGACAATTCTAGAAAATTCCGTTTCAGTCAGAGACACCTACGTCAAGAAATTTACAGCAAAGGGTTGTGAGACTTTTCTTCTGATATATAGTGTGCACTAGGCTGAACAATAAATCAGAAATTCATAGAATTTGCAATATGGCCTACTAAAATTCTCAAATCGAGGAGGAGACGCAATATTTGTTGAAGGATTAATGTGTCAAAATATAATTTTAAATTAAATATTGTCGTGCTGCAGAGATGTTTTACACCACATTCTACAGACTTAACAAAACATTTGTTAACAAATCATCATTCCCTAACATCCTTACATTTATTCCTTCCTTATTTGCTAATTCCTTATTATCAGGCTGCCCAAATAAGTCCCTTGAGACTCTCTAGCTGACACCATCATATTTTAAAGAGCTCATAGTACCTTACTACCCCACCAGAGCACTGCGCTCCCAGAATGCAGGGTTACTTGTGGTTCCCTAGTGTCTCTAAAAGTCGAATGGGAACAGTTTGGAAAAAGTTTTCCTTTTTCTGTTTCCCTATTTTCTAATTACTACTTATTGGGACACAACATACAAAACGAAAATCCGTTGGCTGCCAAGTACGCAGAACCACAGCCTTCAGCAATCAAGCTCCTTTCCAGGTTCCAGTTTGGGTTCAGGAGGCAAACACCATCTCCACATTTAAAAGTGGGCTTAAGACTTTCCTTTTTGATAGGCCTTAGTGAGGGCTGGTTCAGGTCAGTCCTTAGTTATGCTGCTATAGGCCTACGTTCAAGTTCTTTATCATTGTCATGATTGTCTTCTGTTCTTCACATATTGACTGAACAGTACTGACTGAATGCCTACTGTACAAATAGTATTTAAATTAAAGCTGCAAATGTGTTTTGTTTATATTGATTTACTGTATTATAAAACATAGACAGATGTGTGTTGCATAACAATTTAGCTTTTAACTTACAAATCATGGGTCCACCACACAACATCGCAGGACATGGCGCCATACAGGCCATCATCATGGGCCCTTTTGGATAAAAAAAAGAAAGTAGAGGGTCAAGCCATTAAATGGTAATTATTAAACAAAAAAAAATTAAATCTAAACAAGCACTTAAAAATAGTATTTAAATATTCAAAAGGTTTTTTTATACAAACAGGACAGATGTGAACACGCAAACTAGGGGTCTGAATCTTCAGTATTTCATTATCTGATTCAAAAATCGATTGTAGATTCAGTACATAGGGGTGCTAATTTCTGGATCTACTCCAGTCTGCTGTGTGTTAAGACAGGTGGTGTGGCAAATTATGGCATGAAAGCAGCTCTGGGTGATGGTCTATGATGTGAGCCAGGGCATTTATAGCGTTCCCGAAGTACTTGATTTTCATTTTGCTTGGGCCAATGTTACTGGGGGTAACAATTTTGATAACAGTAATTTTCCATGTAAAAACATTTCATAGTTCCAGCATTACATATGTGAAGATAATTTGTTTTTATTTTTAATAATCTTAATTTGTTATTTTGTTATTACATAATTATTTTGAGGTTGGACTGTTGGTTGAGGTTGGTATTTTTATTCACTGAGTACTTTGAATACATTTTCCTGATTATACTTTTAGTAAGTAAGAAACTAACATTTCCAATGCCAGACTTTTACTTCCAACAGAGTATTTTTACAGTGTGGTCTTTTTACTCAAGTAAAGGATCGGAGTACATCCTCCACCACTGCTCCGTCTATAAAGGTAAAGGTTAACTATGTTTTCTAACAGGTTAGGTTAGCACACCCACAGCCTTCCTGCACCTCTGTGTTACAGGCCGAGCCACCCCTTTAAGGAAAGTGGCCTTGTGGGTAACCTGTGTGTGTGTGACTAGGTTTGTTGTGAGAAGTGAGTCTCTCCCGGTGTGTGACAGAAGTACCACACACGCACATTGCTGCACTCCCAGAAAAGTGTGTGTAACGTCGTAACGTGGCTATTATTTATATTATAGTTACTGAAAGTATCATGTTTGCTGTCACAGAAGAGAAGAACAGTCCCTGTTCATATTGCTACAGCATCCTTCTGCATTTAGCTAGATAACCATAGCGACAGTGGACAGCAAGGGTCAATCCAAGACTTGCAATAAAATTACTGATAGTCATTCCACAACCGATGTGCAGAGTCGATGCAAAACAACTCTTGGTCAGTCAACTTATGTGTTGCAGTGATGAGTTTGTAGTGCAGAAGACCTCTTTCAGCAACCCACCAACGGTGGCTAACCTTATTTATTTTATTCGCCAATGTAGTTTTGTTAATTTTGGGCCCTGTCTGAGAGCCAAAGTTACATCTTTTAGGGGGTATAGCCTGTACAAAATAGTACGACACCTATTATATAAATAGTATTTCAAAATAAAGCTGCAAATATGTTGTTTACATTAAATTACTGTATTTATAAAACACAGAAAGATGTGTTCCATTTGTATTCATTTTTTAGTAATCTTACTGCCTGGACCACCACTGGACATCGGACGACAGGCCATCATCATGGGCACTTTGGGATAAAAAAAAACATAAAAGGTCAATCCATTTCACTATAATTATTAAACAGAAAAAAAATATATATAATAATGATCAACAACAAGCAGTTGAAATAGTGCCTAAAAATTTTTCAAATATTCCGTATTCACAGGTTTTTACATTCAGACATGTGAACACACAAACACTGTGAGCAAAGAACAAATGCTAGCTCTTATATCCAATTAAATGAAGTTATAAGTCATTAAATGATTACGGATTGTCTAAATGTTAAGCAGAACATGATCATGCCTCTCTACACTATTATTCATGGTCAGCTATAGTGTCTCTTAAGTAGAGGGTGACTTTTATTTACACTCACTGGGTGTTGGAACGTTTCTGCGCACCAGAGGTCCTTGAATCGCCTCGCCGTCGCCTTTGTTGACAGCAATGAAGGCAGTGAAGGAACTGCTCACTCCTGATTGGACACTGAGCTCCACCACCTTCTCCTTCACTCCTCCATCTTGCTGTCCTCTGCGGCCTCTCTCCTCCATCTCCAGGGAGCGAATCAGAGTCCGAGCAGCCAACCTGTGGACCGTTAATCTGCAGACAGTTGTGATTGAGTGAAATGTACAGAATGTCTAGATAATCATGTGTCTGCATAAAATACCAGATAACTTCTCAGCATACTGATTATGTTGGCCAGTAACAGACTGACTTTGTGGTTTAGACTCTTGGTGAGAGGGTGAGAGAGAGAGAGAGAGAGAGAGAGAGAGAGAGAGAGAGAGAGAGAGAGGCAAAATGCTTTACATAAAAGCACCATAGGGAAATATATATATGTGAAAAACAAAAAAAACACATCTACCAAAGACCTATCTATAGATGTTTTTGTTTCTTGTATTTTATATTTATCTAAATTAAACTCAGCATTTGTAAGTCCAGGACCAAATGCATAACAGTGTTTTCTGAACACTTACCCAGAGTCCTCTGCAGGTCTGAGACTGAAGTGGAGCTGGTTCTGAGAGGGATGACCTGCCAGGCTGTACTTCACCGTCACACAGCCCTCTGCTGCCTCTGAACTCTGAGAAAGCATTAGTGTTAGAAACCATGTGTGTTAATGTGATAACATACCAGATGGAAAAGAATAATAGGTATTTCACTGTGAGATGGTGCTGCTCCTACCTGTCCGGTGAGCTGGGCATAAATCAGTGACCTCTGACCCTGGAAAAGTGCTGTGATTGGTGGAGAGAGGACAGTGGCAGACACTCCCTTTGGCAAATCCCACGTGACTGAGATGTCCACCACAGCTGGCTGCAGAGCAAATCGCAGCGACTGCATCACCTGGTGGGAACAAAACACAAAGTCATGAACGGGCACTGGGTCTTTACTAACTGGAACCATGATTTCTGTCTGAATACAACTTTTGTTGCATAATTTAATATAAAAGCTTTTATGTTTTTAATGTCTTTCTTACTTTGGGTTGCATCCTGTCAGTCCCTGTGATGAACTGAGCGTGACCTCCTCCTTCCTTGGCCAACCCATTGATAAGAGCAGAGCTGGCCCCTTCCCCAATCCCAAAAGAGAAACACCTACAATACAGTAGTTTTGTTCTTAACACACACAGCACAACAACATGGGCCAAACTCTGCTAATTGTTGTGTTTGTTGTGTTCTGTGTTTTTGTGGCCTCACCTGTGGGAACCTGAATTCTTCTTCACCAGATTCATAATGTCTTTGGTGTTCCACACCTCTCCATCAGTGAAGACAAATAGCTAGAGGAGGAGAGTTTGCATATCACTCAAAGTTACATAACATCACACACATAAAAACTGAGTTATCCAAATCATTCTCTGTGAACTGTTTCAGTAACACAAGTGGTTTTAAAGGTAAAGCATAAAGAACAAGGTGTGGTAAGAATGAATCAGGTTAAGAACAAACATGTTAGTTCAGGATTGTATTTGTAAAGTTAAAAATAGATCAGTAGGAGGTTCTGCATTGTATTTGTACAACCTGTTTAACGCGTGTGTGCGCATTAGTCTAGGTTGCAACCAGGCCAGTAGTGGTTATGGTAAAGTCTCCAGGAAATAAAAGTAAATTAACGTAAAGTCCGCTGAAGTGATGGAAACATGACTGTATGTGTATATATCACCTGTCTAGGATGATTGAGAATGCAGGGCTGACTGTAAATGTGTTCGAGGGACCTCAGGATCTCTGTTCCTCCCAGATCAGCGCCCATCTCCTCAACTTTCTTCAGAGCCTCTTCCATGGTCTTCTGGCTGTACTCCACACTCTTACTGCCATCACAAACACACACATGCAAGAACAATAACACCAAAGACAGGAATACATTTGTTGGACCGAGTGACATGAGTGACTTACGGGAAGATGTGTTCATAGCTGGACCCGAAGCTGTAGATGTTGAAATAGCAGCCCATTGGTAAGCTTTTCAAAAGGAGCAGCAGAGTATCCTTAAAGGGAAGAGAGAAAAGATAGTGAAGGCCACTGTGTGAGAGGGACACTGAATGATTTTATTACACAATGTACACATGATGATTACCCTGGCACTGCCAATGCGAGTCTGATCACTACTGCTGTTGTTCATAGGACAATCCATACTTCCAGATCGATCCAATAAGAACACAAACTCTCCACATGAGGCGACTGAAGACATCACAGCCTGGGGGAACTCAGGGTACAGGCTCAGCATCACCACTGGATCACCCATCAGAGTGCCTGAAACACAGACGAGAGACAGAAAAATGACCACAAATAAGGATTTCACTATTTATTCCAACATCTGTAACTCATCCGTTGGAGGAGGATGAATGTTTCCTTTGCAAACTAACAACTTCACTAAAGTTTACTCACCAGGCTTAGCAGAGGCCTGTCCTGCCTCCACCACAGCAGTGGGCTGGTGGGCATCTTTGTAATAAATCAGCAGTTCAACATCTCTGTCAAACTTGTGTCCTGCAGCCAACTTCACCTGCAGATCACAAAACACATTTATACCTATAAATAAAGTGATACATCTTGTATTGAAGAACACAGCGCACATTAGACATCTCTACCTACCGTGGCCTGCGTTTGCTCTGTGTTGAGGTACTGCAGAGGGTCCAGGGAACAGTTGGACTCTACTTTAGAGACTGGACGAGGAGAGGACACTCGGGCAGAGAAGGACAGACTGTAGGGCACCAGAGAGGCTGGAACAGCAGTCACCTGGACACTGGCACCGTCACTACTTCCGCATGCTGTGAACAAGTTAGAAATGCAACAATCAAAGAGCATTAACTTACAATTAACTAAAACAACTAAAACACTAAGAGTCTATATCCATGATCCACAGAGCAACAGAACTTTCAATCCCTAGAGCAAAGTTCATCCTTTCATCTTCATTTCAGACAAAACCCAATGGATGTTTGTATGAAAACACTGAAAGTCAGTGTGAATATAGACGTGTTTGCAAATCTCCCTGCTTTGAGTTGCTCTTGGGCAGTCTAGACATGATCAGTGATCGGACCCAAAGACCATACTTTGGTACACCAGCATCTCTACATATCTACAGATATATTTCACACTAAGCTGAAGGGTTCCACGTGAAGGTGTTGGCTGGTGTTCCTACCCTGAGGTTGGTAGCGAGGGTTGAGCACAGCAGGCAGGCAAAACCGCAGCCCGTCATCAGCCTGCACAGCCAGCTCAGTGACGTACTCCAGCCTGATGGAGGCGCTCTCTCCTGGAGGCAGACTGCCCACACTCAGAGAGAATACATCTGGACTCTGATCACTCTCCTCCAATAGGAAGGCCTGCTGACCTGAGCTCAAAGCGTCATCATACTCCTCCCGAGCCTGAAGTGCAGATGACACATGTGAGGAACATTCACTGTGATTTTAAGGAACACCGTAGTGAGTAAGTCTTTACTGTCCAGCTCACCTCCTGCTTCTCCTTCACCTCAGCTACAATCTGTGTCTGTCCGATCTTAGCGCTGAAATGACAGACAGCAGCATCTCCAGGCAGAGGGAAGACAAAAACAGCCTCCAGTGGTTTGTCCTCCTTGTTCTCATAGTTCAGAGTGGAGACCACTGTAGCCACATGGTCCCTCACCTCCACCTCCACCTCCACACTCTTCAGAGGAACTGACAAAGAAACAGAAGGAAGCACAATGAACACAGACTGTGTGAAAACTTCTGTTTTGTGCGTATATGATATTTACAAATGATTGATGATACAAAATTACGGTTCCAGAATGGTTAGATTTGGGCCTTTCCCTTTAGCAAAAATGTGTGCCTTGTATATTTAATTTTAAAGATGTTTGGAAAAGACCCTTCCTGCCACCCTGAGGCCCAAACTTACATTTGTACATGGACAAATATCAGCAACCAGAATACTGACATCCACATCTACAAAAATCCCCAGCAAGCACTAATTAATGGATTATAGCAGGAAACCCAAACATTCAAGAGGATACAAAAACAAAATCAAACCTTGACACAGAAACATGCTAATGTTCCTCTAATATTGTTCAAAGCTGTTTTTAATCACTTCAACCTATTGGGGTTATACAATCAATCAGTCAATATAAGGATAATTGCACAGGTCAATCCTTCAAAAATTTATGTTAGAAAATCTCCTTTTGCATAAGTAAAACAATGGTTTGTAACAGATCTGTACCTGGTTCCTTATCGACAGTGAGCAGACCACAGCAGTTCACCATCATGCCGGTTCAACACTGTGAGAGGTAACTGCTGCTGTAAAAATAAAAGGGGAAGGGAATTTAACTCTGTATGCTAACAAGGCACAGCAGAGCAACCATTGGACTCATAATGAAACTCTGTATGTTTATTTTAATTTCCTAAAACAATCCTTTCATACAAGTCTAATAACCTGCATTTAAGGACAGTATGATTCTTCATGAGTTAAAATTTTGAAATGAAGTACGGCATGTGTGAGTTCCAGCGGCGTCGTTAGCCCTGGGCTGTTTATTGAAAAGCCCCGGATCTGCACGTTTAGAAAATCAGGCAAGTATCTTTTCAGTTTAAGGCTTTATGTTCTACTAATACTACAGAAATCTAGTGAGCGCACACCATAGCACTGGTGGCCTGTTGGAAAGCACCCTACGTCGCTCTTTCACAAGCCAGCAAGTGATCGAGATATATTAAAAGTGTCCTGTTGTTGAACAGAGCATCGCTTTGGACATTAGCCTGTTTTTTCGTTAATACACATCGGTTACTATTTGTTTTATGCCCGACGGTGAGAGAGAGAGAGAGAGAGAGAGAGAGAGAGAGAGAGAGAGAGAGAGAGAGAGAGAGAGAGAGAGAGAATATGGTGGATAAAACAGTCCTGTTGGGTTTTACACATGACGCACACCTTCCTCTGTATGCAGGTTTACCTGCTTCAACAATGAGCTGCTCTCCTGTTACTGCCACAATAATTCTTTGCATTGTGCAGATTATTTAGATGCTTCAGGAATAATCCGATTGTATTGGCAGCCTGTGCTACAGCAAAACAAGTGGTTTGGTTGGCTACATATCCATAATAAAAGGCACAGGTAACAAAAGTTGGCTGGGCAGCAAAAGTGATATTTTAAAGTGATCTTATAAACACGGAAAAGGAAAATAATTGTAGAAATAGCTAAATTACAAATAATCAGTTTCTTCGCTGCATTTGCAGGAATATTTTAATGGGCTACTTAAAAAAACAAACTCATCAAGTTGCCTAGTCTAATGCAATAGACAGTCCATTTTTACTCTGATAGCCTTTCTTGACCTTTCCTCATGTGGACACATAGGGGCTGTGATCCTGCACAACAAAACATGCAAGAATTAAATCCCCACACTACCATCGGCAGTAGTGGTGCAACGGTTGCAGAATCCGTGGTATGGATCCCTTCCACACTGTGCAGGTGGACTGCGGATTGATTGCAAAGTTTATTATGATTTATCCTGTTTGACCTCTCAAAATATCCTTTATTCTGGAAATGTCAGAGAACCCAGTTAGATTCTGAATGTGCAGAACTTTGAACATGAGCAGAAACCCTGCTGAAACACAGGAGATATTAAAGTCCAGGAGTTTATTACTGAATTAAAATGATTGAATTTATTATTGATGACGTAAAACGGTGCCACGTGCACATTTAAAGAGGTTACCTCAATCAATCAGCCCTGTGTGTGTGTTGATTCAGCAGTGATTATATTAAAAGTTGATCTACAGGAGAAACATATCTGAAAGCCACCCAGAATGCCTGAGAGATGCTCTGCATTATATTCTGTTACAGTTTTAGATTTTAAATTGCTTTATTATAACTTTATTAAATTATACTCTTTTTCCAAGAGTGTCCTGGCCAAGGCAAAGTAGTACAACATTTAAGATGGGAATAAATAATCAGTTACAAGGTCATAAAATATCAAAATGTTCTTAAATATTCACCACAATTCAGTAACACCTGACTTTTGTGTCCCTTTACAGAAATAATTTCCACAATAAATTGATGCAGAAAGGCAGAAATTTGGGCAGATAAACACCAGAATACAGGAAATTAAGTCTCAATCACTCACAATTTTCTGGGGGACTACCCCCAGACCGCCATGTTCATACGGTCGCAGTTTTGTTCTTATATTATTATTAGACACATGACATTACAAATTAGCAACATCAAAATGAGACAGTTAATAGTGTTGTTCTGAGTTTTGTTGTGCCATATAAGTAGGGGATGTTTACTGTTGCTTTACTGCTTTACAGACTTAACTTTGGGTTGGGGGTCAATTATTACGTGAAGATATGAAGTTTTATGGGCTGGGTTAAGTTTCAAGATCCTAAAAACGCCCCTGGTGAGCTCAGTAGAATTGAGGAATTACATCAAAAGAAATGGTAACTAAATGTAAATGTAACCTACATAATGGCCTACTGTCAACCTATAATTTGTTGTTTGTAGCCAGATTTTATGGACTATTACTGGTAGTAGTGCGGCTGGTGCGGCTGGCCCGGGCCTGGGAGTGGGGAGGGGGGCTGCAGAGGGTGCGGCTGTGTGTGTTTTGATTGCGGCAAAAAAGAAAAAGTCAGACTCAGACCAGGCCATGCCTTCAAAGAGACGAGCCCCCACAGGTTTCTGCTCTCATGCAGCAAACAGTACCAGTGTGGATACTGTGGCCTATTTATAGCCTAATGTAGTTGATTCCCCCTTAGTACCCCACTAATAGAGCGTCCTCCACCACTTTGACTTTTCTCGGGAGTTGTTAAAGCTCAAAACCTTTCTGCTGTTTTCCATAACAAGTAAGTATAAATGAATGTGCCATTATTTGAGGGCCTACTAAGAGGTCCTCCTCCCTCTGCAATGAGCTATGATCCACGCCTGTAACAGAACAGAATACCGTTCACCTGGTGTATAATACATGCTATACAGTAAGTCTGAAAACCTGAAAATGCATCAGATGCCTACTGTACCTTTGCGAGTGTCCGGGTAGGGATATAAAATACGGAAGACTTCTGGGAAGCAGTTTTTGCGTTGGAGGCGAGGCTCTGTGTATTCCTATGAAAGCTATGAATGGCGAGTACGGGCTGCCTTTATACCGTCTTTTGTAAGGGGCAGAACTTGGCACCTTGCTCTCTTGCGCCATTACCTTGCACCTCCCACCGGGATGCACGGAGAGAAGAAACGAGGGACGAGTTCAGCGCCGACAAAACGTAGCAAAACAGTTTTTTTCTACGGAAACCTCAGACACGCCCAGCAAACGGGAAAAACCAGACCTCGGAGCCCTTTGCACAACGTTGCGCAACGTTCCAAGGAAACATGTCGTTCAGTCCAAAAATGTTGCGAACCTGTGCAAAACGTTTTGAGATTGAGCTCGCCAGAGGTTTATATTTGTATAGATTTGAGACGTCCTTTCCTGTGAAGTGTCACGAGAAGCGACGTCCGCTTCTGATGAAAGCGACAGAGACTTTTGATGGAGTTTGTGTCTGCACACATGTGAACTGTGCTGATATTAATAATGGCTCACAGTCCTTGCAGTTTTCAAAATTTTCATCAAAAGCAAACTTTTTAAAACCTACAACTTGAAAGATATGTTAAAAAGAAATCCCACAAACCCAATATTAATAGGCCTATTTACATTTTTTATTCAGACATGGGAGCCATTCTTTCTAATACAAGAAATAGATTTTTTTTTATACCTAATGTATTTCCTTGTAAAATGTCCGTTTTTTGGAAGCCATTGATAGAAAGTATTCTTAGATGTTTAATCTTGAAATATGAATTAAACATGTCAATGGCCTTTGTACAAAACATACTAATTCACCAAAATCAAATCAAAAGTTACATTTACTTGATTAGTCCACAAACCAAGACTACACTGTAAACCCGAATAAGTAAGCAGCACTCAAAAAAATTAGGCAATCATTAGCCAGAATTGTTTTGAGTTTATAAACTCAAAAGTCAGAAATTTATGGAACTTAAATATTTAGAGTTTGGGTTACATATACTTTTTGATTACTGTTAGATAAAATTACTGAATAACATTACTCAAATTTTTATAGTAAATGCAACTCTAAAATATTCATTGGACAGAAGTTAATCATTTTAAGTATGAAAACCCAGTGTTTATGTTCTATGAACTCAATATTTATTAGTTTCTTGTTCAATATTTTCAATTACTATATTACTATCTCAAAAACATTTACTTCCTCATACACAAATAATTTACCCCAGAACTTAAAATATTTGTTGCAACGGATTGCCTTAATTACACTGAGTACTACTAACTACTAAAAAAAAAATATGTCAAATTAAAAGTACATGTCAATATTTTTGCCCATTTCCCACATCTTTTTAGGACAGATTGAAACTGAATTGAAAATTCTTTCTTTCAAATGTTCTTACCCAATCAGCTGTGACAAGTTTGTAAACACAACGGTGATTTCTTTTCTTTCAAACGTCTACTTAAAAAGAAAAAAAACATACAAAAGGAAATTAGCCATTGCAAAGACGCACTTTGGGCAATCTTTTAACCTGCTGTAAACCCAAATACTCAGTAATTCTCAAAAATACAAGTACAACTTGTTATGAGGGTGGTGTGGTGTGGTGTGGGGACAGAGAGGACCCAAACACAGCACTCAGAGGGAAGGAGGTTTATTGAGGGGAAAAAGGGGTAGAGGGACTGGAGTGGAGGGAGAGGTGGATGCCGGGGAAACTCAGGCATGGGGAACCAAGGGGACTGGGGACCAGGGAGCCGGGGAACACTGGGGGACGCCGTGGGGGAAGTCCGAGGAGGAGAGGACCGGTGGATGAGCCCAGGGCAGACAGGGTTCAAGATCACGGAGACAAAGCACAGGGAAAATGGGAGAAAACAAACAACACGAGAGCCTGAACGTGGAGGTGGCACCGGGTATGGAGCAACGACGATCAAGCAAGAGTGGTGTGGAGAACCGGGGTTGAAATACAGGCAGGGATGAGGTTGATTACTGGCAGGTGTGGCAGGCTGACGAGGTGGCTGACAAGGTGGCTGATGAGGTGCAGGTGCGGGTCGTTGTCTGGGCTCAGGAGCAGAGGGAGAGAGGGAGCACATACAGGGGAGAAAACACAGGGAGGCAGGCAGGGAACAGAAAACCAAGGAAAAAGCAGAATAACTGATAAAAAGGAGAAAAAAAACCCAGGACACTCACCGTCAGCCGGGCTGCTACCACAACACAACTCCATTCTTACAAGTCAAGTTTTCTTTATTCAACAATCATTATCACAACTTGTAACACCTCCTGCCATTTCTATATTTCACAGACACAAACCGTTTACGTACATGAGTACATTCAAACATTCAAACTTCTTTCAACAAGTAGCACAGCTTCAGTGGTTTGCTATCATCAAGACATTATTATTTTCTGAACAAAGGTGAATGCGTAAATGAGTTTCTTTGGATAATCACTAACAATTTCCACTTCGACTACAACAGAAGCGCTCTCAGGGTTGAAATGGATCGTAGCAGGGGCGTCGTCAGTGACCACAGTGAGGAGAGCCACAGGCATGTCAGCAATATCTGGTTCATCTTTGCACTGCAAAATACAAACAATCCAATTATGAGGATAATTTTAAAAGACAGGTTGCAAGTCATGCGCTGCTTCAACGGTGCCCCCCACAAACTGAAAGCACCAATAACTTTTTTATTGTACAATTAGATAGACTAAAATCTATGAATTTGGGTTGGACCGAGACAATGACTGACAGACATCATGATGTTGAGCCAGCATCGTGATTGTAATCTTAGTCTTAATTTTTTTACGTTTTTTTCCACCCACGATCCGTTATCAGGGCAGCAGGTGAGCTGCGTTCCAGCTTATTAATGACATAGCCTTTCAAAATAACCGAAACCAACATCTGCACCCTGTGTGTTGACTGCTGCTTTACCTGGTCTTACTTGTAAAATATCCACGGCGATTTGTAATGTAATAGGCAACAAAGTTTTTTACGGAGTGAAGTCTGTCAAATGCTGGAAGAGGCATTAAAGTTGGTTTGCCATAGTCCATTTCAATGATATTGACATTGTGTGTGAGTATACTGAGGACTTACATTGCGGGTCTTGAAGAAATCAGTCATCCTCTCGCAGTTCCACTGGGAGGGCACGAAGGGCCAGAATGCGTCTTATGTGTACATCATGTTGTTTCTAGATTGATAATCAAAATAATTATCATTATACAAATGTGATTATAGTGTAACAGTTATACCAATGTAATTCTAAAAGAATAATAATACTATTATTAGCAACGACAGCAATAACAATAATAAATCCATCCAGCTGCAACTACCTATAAGACAAGACATATAACATGACAAAAGATTTGTTAGCCAGTGCAGTAGGGCTGGACCCCAGTATTCTAGTTATTCACTAGGGGTAGGAATCTCTGGGCACCTCACGATTCGATTTGATTACAATTCAGAGGGCTGCGATTTGATTATAAAACGATTATCGATGCGTCTTGACATAACTTTTCCCTGGATAATTACTAAGCTTTTAATTTGTACATTTAAATCCAAAAGAAACATCTCCTAATTAGCTTAAAAGGACTAGTTTGCATCCCTAATTTACTTTATTAACCTCAGCTCAATGGTCCATTTCTTTAACATTCACACTCCTCTGAAAACACACAAATAAAGTTAACTATTAGGATATAGCCTGCAGTATGTATACAGGACAGAGCTGTACACCAGTTTAGTCTAAGCTTGTACCTGAAGTTCTCAACCCTTGACTAGTAGGTTAGTTAGTAATGACATAACGTTACAGCTGATAATTGACATTACTTCATCACTAATTTAGCTAATGTTACATAAATAAATAAATATTTTAACGCATTTCACGGTACCCAGGGACGCTTTACACATAGTTACAGTTATAGAACAAAAACATTTGTTAATCGATTCATAATCCTCCACTTCAGCATTGCGGTGCATCTAAGAATCGATTAATTCTCCCACCCCTATTATTCACTGGGTAGGTTTTTGGTTTTAGATTTGGTGATTTTGATATTCTTACAAGCACCCACACTTCAACCCTCAACCCTGCACACACACAACAGCTCACACCACCTCTTTCTGATTTTCTCTCGCTGCATCATACAGGGACAAACACTTACACGTGGTTTGTCAGCAGTATGTTTTATAGCCAAAAAAAAAAACACTGCCCGCGTTTTGAACCTCTTTAGCCCAGTTAGCAACTTTTGGATGGATGCGTGTGGAGGAGGCCTACATTACATCTCTCTCATTGATGGCATTGGTCTCTTGGACAAGTAAAAAATAAAACGAGGATTCTCTGTTTTGTTTTGTATTATGTGTTCAGTGCAGCCTAAGAATAGCCATTTAAAATAGGCTTGAAACAACTTTTAAAGTGATCATGTACTGGAAAACAAAGCAAAAAAAAAAAATGACACAACTGTGCAAATGTGGAGTGACCATTGAAAGTAGATGTCATCATAATCATCACATATTTAGAATAACTGTATTGCAGAGTCTGTGTGTAATGACCACACATTATGTGATCTACATTGTGGCTATGGCAAAATCAATCTTACGCTCACCTGGAGGTCATAAATCCTAGGATCTCTGCAGTGCCTCTGCTGTCTTGCCCGTCTGTGAGGCCCTCCACCTGCACAGGACAATCAGCTATGGTGTCAAGCTCACAGTTGAATTGGCTCCATAGGTTCAACATTAATCATGATGACGATGGAACTCAGAAAACACCTGCAGACATTCAAACACAAACACATAAATGTATGTTGCCTAGATTAATGTTGTTACCACTAAGGGAATTTTCGTTTAATAAGGAAGCATCCTAGTAAGTTCAAATGATGCCCGTATGTTCCTTTAAATACCTTAACTCATCTTTCAAATCTATGAAGTATAAAAAGCATCAAGTCTACATAATCTTGAATAATTCAAAAGAATTATACTAACTCTTATGCAGAAATGGGCAAATTGAAAACATACCATGGATAGCTGTAGTGTCACTCAATACTTAATCCTGCAGGAGCAGATAAAACACAAAGAATCCCCATTAGTCCAGTTAACAAGAACGTCATCAATTGCTGATTTTTTTAAAAATAAAAATGTGTAAAAATATAATATACTTATTAGCTGGTTTTGATTGCTGAACTCATAATTCTTTTGAGTAAGCAGTGTGTTCGGGTTTACAGTGTATTATTCAACATTTAATTATTGAACATTTCACTTCTTTTTGATAATTTTTATTAACAAAATGACCCTGTGACGGGGTGGTAACTAATGTGACAGAGTGATAAGGACAAACTGTTTCTCTATATCATCTGTTGGTTTTAGCCTTCATTTAACATGAGAAAGAGTCAAATTGTAAATTTAACTTAAAGCTTTGGTCTTTAAAAACAGATAGTGAGTGAGTGAAAGAGATAGTGAGTGAGTGAATCAATGAGTGAAAGAGATAGTGAGTGAGTGACATAGTGAGTGAAAGAGATAGTGAGTGAGTGACATAGTGAGTGAACCTAACAAGGTTAACAGTAATAACCAGCGTTGTGACGAGACACGATACTGGGTTCATTTGATTGAGACAAGACAAGATTTTAACACTATTTTTAAGAAGTCTTTTTGCTGATTTATGTGAAAATTTCGACCATTAAACAGTTAATTTCCTGCATTCTGGTCAATTTTTCTGCACCAGTTTATGGTGGAAATGTTTTTATTTATGAACAGAGAAACACAAAATTCAAGTGGCCGGCGACAATTCAAAATCTAAAACTGGCTCTCAGGTGTTTGGAATTGCTTTTAGATATCTTTGTCCTTTAGATCCTTTTCTCAAGTAATCCCTGCTGAATCAGCACATGCTGGCGGTATTAAGTCTTCCCTCCTCTTTAGTGTCTTTGTTTGGGGAAGTAAACTTTTTAAATGTGATTGTGGCACCTTGTCACCTTAACGATAAATTAATCCATTTTATTCAGTTATAAACTTCTGGACTTAATAGCTCCTGTGTTTCAGCAGGTTTTCTGCTCACGTTCAAAACTTTCTGCACATTCAGAATCTCTCCCACATATCTTTGTTCCCTGACATGTCGAGGAAAAAGTCGTAGGCTAATATTACAAGAATAGCGTCATCATTCATTGAGAATTCATAATATTTTTTAAGTGTACCTGCCCTATGCTCTGCTATGCATTACTATTGCTCCACTGATAGGATTCCCTTCAGACCAGAAATCTCACCACAAATGCAAGAGTTCAGTCTTAGACAATGTGGCAAGCCTTCATCCATGTAAACATCCGAAATCCGTGATTTGCGCTGAGACGGTGTGGTTGAAACGTGGGAAGGAACGATAGAGTTGCGTATCGTCTGTGTAGCAGTGGAAAGCGAAACTATGCAAGCGAATAATTTCCCCCAGTGAGGTGGTATAAATGAGAAGAGAAGGGTACTCCTGTGGACAGATAGTGAGAGAAAGACAATTGTCCTTGCCACGACGCATTGTAATGCTCACATCCCTTACCACCCTGTCACAATAAAACATGTGATTGGGTGGTAAATTGAACAAGATTTTTTAGGCTAAATGTTTCCAGGAAAATTTAAATGATGTGACTCATATCAAAGCTGACGCTCAGGAATGATCAGCCTCACAGGTGACTGAATGGAAAAGATGATAAATGATGTAAAAAAGTGTTTCTTGCTGACAGACTTTCATGAGTCTCTCTTACTTTAGTTCTATCCATAATAAAAGTCAAATCGGGGAAATAAGAGATCATAAAAAGACATATCTTTCCAATCAATAAAGAAACTTGTTTTGGTCCTTGTGTTGTTTAAACCTACAATGAACACAAAATATTAACTATATAATGAATCAGTTAACAAATCAAATTAGTTATCAGTTACAGACAGTTATCTGTCTTTATATTTGTAATGTATTATGATTAGCTGCAACGTCCAATCAGTAACTGATATCCAATAAGGTTTCGTGTTGGCCAAGACCTCTGTGAAGGCTGTTGTCATGTGTCCTCACTCATGACTCCTCAGAGATCCCTCCTCACTGAACCGCTGTCAAGTGGACTCATGAGCTGTTCATTATTGGTGTGAACACCATTTGAACCAATCAAAGGAATCTATCATTATATGTGTAATTTTAAATAGTACCTATGTATTATTACTCAACTATTTAATGTATTATTATTGTTATTTATTGGAATTTATTGGAATAAGTTTTATTATCAAGTCGATTTTCAGTGTTTGCCAGTTTTCCTTGGTGTTTGGTTACATACAAAAAACACATTAAGAGAAAATAAAAAGAAAGACAAAGTACTGCGAGCACAGTTTATCAAAGACCCTTACAGATTCACAGAGTCGCTACTTGGTGTAGCCAAGCTGGGAAATTGACAAGCACTAAGGAGGAGGTGGAGGAGTTCCTGAGAGAGTCCCATAGTGATACAGCAAGAATGGAGCCCTTAGGAGCAAACCCAGATATCTGCAGCACAGAGAAACCAAACAAGGCACTCAGCGTCGCCGAACCATCTTGGAAGGAAATCCAGGAGGTAGTGAAAAACACTAGATCAGCCTCTGCTCCAGGTCCCAGCGGTGTAACGTACAAGGTGTACAAGAAATGCCCAAAATTACTTTGGAGGCTATGGAAGCTTATTGGAAGGTTTTGGGAAAAGGGAACCATCCCAGCAAGCTGGAAAAGAGCAGGATGCCTTGTCCTTAAGGAAGAACCATCTGGCCAGTTCAGAACCATCTGTTTGCTCAGTGTAGAAGGAAAGATCTTCATCTCGGTGCTGGCTAAGGGGATGACTACATACATGACAGAGAACGGTTATATTGACACCTCTACACAAAAGGGTGGGATTCCAGGTTTTTCAGGGTGTCTGGAACACACCGGAATGCCAGGAAGCCAAGGGAATGTTAGGTGACCTTACAGTTGTCTGGCTGGACTTAGCAAATGCATATGGTTCTATCTGTTTATTATGGGAATGAACCTCATTATTACAGCAGAAACAAGAGGGCCAAAAATGCCCTTTGGAATCTGACAGCCAGCCATCAGAGGATTCATGGATGATCTAACCATCACAACCACAACCCATAAGTAAGGTGGGTCTTATCAGTGATTGACAGTGCACAGCCTAGCTAGGATGAGGTTCAAGCCCAAGAAAATCAAGGAGCTTGGTGATCAGAAAGGGGAAAATCTCCAGCAGGTTCAAGCTACTTGTGCAAGGGGAAGTCACTTCATCAACTGAGGACAACCCTATTAAATGCCTGGAAAGTGGTATGACAAGTCCCTATCAGATAGGAATAACATCTCAAGCACTGAAAAACAAGCAGAGGACTGGTTGAGGAGAATAGAGAAATCTGGACTCCCAGGGAAGTTTAAAGCATGGCTTTACCAACACGGCCTACTGCCAAGACTTATATGGTTGGTGACAGTGTATGAAGCCCCATTAACATCTGTGGAAGGAGTGGAGAGAAAGATCAACAAGCATCTACGCAGGTGGCTGGGAGTCCCTCCAAGTTTTACATCAATTGGACTGTACATAAGAGATGGCCAGCTACAACTCCCCCTGTCGTCTATCGTGGAGGAGTTTAAAGTAGCCAAATGCAGTCTGGTCATGAACTACAGAGACTCCCAGGATCAGGTCAGAGATGCTGGGGTCATCACAAGATCAGGAAGGACGTGGGCAGCCTCGGAATCTGTGGCCATGGTGGAGGGGGCGCTAAGGCTAAAGGACATCATTGGGAACCCATGTGAAGGAAGGCAAGGATTGGGTTTGACGCACTTCCAGCAATGGGGAAAGTCCAACTCATGGGAGAGGAGAGCCATCGTCCAGGCTGAAGTGAGGAACCTGGAGGAGGAGGCAAGGGAGGCAAGAGCTATTGAGCTGGGGCCTCAAGGTGCCTGGACAAAATGGGACCTCCCTGAAAGAAAGATATCATGGGCCAACCTGTGGAAGCTGGAACCATTCCGCATATCTTTCCTGATGCGGGCAGTCTACGACACCCTTCCAACCCCAGTGAACCTGCATAGGTGGCGATTAAGGGAAGACCCACTGTGTAAGAGGGGAAGTATGGCGCACATCCTGTCGGGTTGCAAGACAGCACTGACCCAGGGAAGATACAGATGGCGGCATGACAAGGTGTTAACCGTGCTCGCGCCTACCTTGGAGCAGGAGAGAAGAAGGAAACATCAAGCTAGAGCAATGTCAATACGTGCCATCACCTTTGTTAAGGAAGGAGTCAGGCCATCATCCCTGAGCACAGCAAAGCCAAACCTGCTGCAGTCAGCCCAAGGATGGGAGTTGAGAGTGGACCTGGCAAGAAAGCTCCAGTTCCCAGAAGAGACTGACAAACCTGAGGCCAGATGCAGTCTTGTGGTCAACAGAGGGAAAGAAGGTCATCCTCGTGGAACTGACTGTGCCATGGGAGGACGATTGCCAGGAAGCAGCAGAGAAGAAAAGCGCCAAATAGCAGGATCTGGTGTAGGAGTGTAGGAACAGAGGCTGGCAAGCTTGGATGTTCCCAGTGGAAGTGGGATGTCGAGGATTCCCTGCTCAATCGGTATGGAGTCTGTTGACAGCAATAGGATTGAGAGGAAACGCAAGGACATCTATAGCTCGTAGATTGGGGGAGGCAGCTGAAAGAGCCTTCTGCTGGTTATGGAATCGGAGGGAGGAGGTGAGCTGGAAGCCAGGAGATGGGCAGTGATTTGGCCACCACTGCTGACCCGCCAACTGGAGAGTGTTACGGTTAAGGGTACAAACACTTGAGGAAGGTTGGGTACCGTCTGATGACAACAACTCCTGGCCAAGGCAGCCATCACCTACGTATAATAGTGACAGAAGCATCGCAGGATGTAAGAAGTCTGTAATGTTCATTCTTGATAGAAAGTCAGCACCTTTTGTCTTTATTGAACTTTTTTATGTATGTATCATGTAGGGATATATGCATTAATTCATTAATTCAAGAAGATTCGTATGGATTATGATAGGCCTTTTAGTCTCTTTGCATGGACCAACTTTGTGATTTTTGGATGTTTGCAATTTTGTGGTCTGCTTACTTCATTGGTCCACTTTGTATTCAACAAAATGCTGCAAAACATTTATTTAAACAGAAACAGCAGTGCGTTGAACACCCTGTTGTGTTACATACGTGCACTGCAGATTTGTAACACCTCTGACACACCCGCCAAACAAGAGACAATGTAGGCTACCTCAAAGCCTGTATATACACTATTTTCAGATTAGACATGCCCCTGGTTTTGTCTAGTAAACTAGGGTCGAGTTTTCCTGTTATTTGCTGTGTCTCCTGACCTTCTTCCCTCTGACTCTTGGTTCCCTCTGCTGAATGCTGCTCGGCAATAAATAATTCTTGTAACTGGAAGCGTGTGATAATAGAAAACATTACTCCTGCTGCTTTGTAAATGTTAGTCATGCACAGATACCTTTACTACACCTTAAAATAGTGAGTTTATCTGAAAATGTATGCCAGGCATAATAAAGGGACCATCACTAATCACCAGATTGTATTAGTTAAAAATACAATAGGCTATATGATAACCCTTGGTAGACTAATAATTAATTCATAAATGTATTTCTAGATTAAATCTGGAGTCGGAGATTGTGTCCAAAAGTACGGCCTAGTTTACTCACCACTATATATAAAACACACAAATATAAGCCTAGTGAACAGTAAATTGACATTGTGGACACTTAATACACTGACAAAAAAATGCTTCTCACAAAAAATGCCTACTCAAGCTTTAACCAGTCATAATATCCACATTAACCTATTTTCAGTAGAGGCAGAATCATTAAAGAAATTACTCAAACTGATCAAATTTTTTTCATTTTTAAACTAAGAAATAAATGTCAATAGTGTGTCCATCCATACCCAGCTGAGTACAGGTGCTGGACACCGCACTGCATTTGGATAAACCTCTATAATGGTAAAAAGCCTGTATCATCCAGCACTTTTGAATGAAATGGTCTTGATAGCTGTGACAGTGTGAGAACAGCAAAAAGAATACAGATACATGTTTCAAGCAGAGACGCCTCTTCTGTCTGAGGATATGGTAGTGCAAGAGTACTTGCTGTAAATGTGGCTGATGTTGTGAAACTGTGTGATGAAACTGCCAGCAGATACAGTTTGAGAAAGTATCAGTGCAGAAACAAACTGGGTTACCTTACCACAGGTACACAGGAAACATGCGCTAACCTCATGGAGGTTCAGATGAACAGTTCCCCCTGCAAGATTTTCCCTCTACAACTACATGCATGGAGTTAAATGTGTCTCACACATTGGTCCCTGATTCTGTAGTGCTGTCATTTTCTGTGGTCAAGGCAACCGCTGATGTACTCTCACTTTCTGAATCGCTTATCAGATCAACACAAAAACCCGACAGACTTTTTTGTGGTTTGTCAAAGTGTTGCAATGAAACTTAGCATGAACACAAACACTTGCATCAACTCTGCATCTTCTAGATTCTGTTTGTTGAAAATATATGGGCTTGGACAACAACAGTTTATTTCTTACAACATAGTTGAGAAACATACCAGAACCATCGAAACAACAGAAACAATTGAAAGGCCAAAGCTAAAAAAGACCCCAATCATTCACTTCATCTTCTTTTACAACATTCGACCCAACAAACTGAAGTTCAACACTGTCCCTAATGTTGGCTAGCAACCGATGCCCTTCTTTACATTGTGGGTAACTAAGGAGAGAGGAAGGGGCTGTAGTGTTTGCAGTTGTGAAAAGCAGTGTTTTTTGGTTTTGTGAGGAAAAGAGAGAGTGATGGATGGAGGGCAGGGGGGTTGGGGAAGGCTTAAGTTGAACACCGTGGTCGGTAATATATGCGACCCTATTGTGGTGAATCAATGCACCGTGCAATAATGGGGGGTAAGGAGGGGTACAAAGCTGTAGGGGAGCTATGACGAGATGTCTTGCCTTCCTCATGGTTTGCCCGCCTCACTTAGAAACACACTTAAGACCTTGCAGTGTTAACTAGTGTCTCATCTGAGTTAAGGTGCTCCCTCCATTCATATCTTAGTTGTTATTTTTCTTACTGAAGAGCTGGCCAGAGGCAAGAGCCCAAGGGCAGACACATGAAGACTCAATAATTTTGTTAAAAGGACAGAAATATGCTGTGATACTGGTCACAGTTTCTACATTGTCTAAATGTTTCTGCGCGGTCTAATGAACGTACATGTGTGGTCTTCTTCTGCACGCAATCTCTGCTAAAGGATGTGTTGTTGGAACAAAATCTAAAGAAAAAAGGTCTACCGGCATGAAGTGAGGTGAGAACATTTTCATTTCATGCAGAAATTCTAGTACAGCTTTTAGGAAAAGTGTATAGTTAGTCCAATACAATACAATAAATAGTTTGAACTTTTCTAGTTGACATTATTGCACTGTGATGAAGGAGGAAGTTTGGTGTGAAGCTAAGCTCTTTTTAATAGCAAACTAAGCAGAAGATGAGCAGTTACTTAAAGTAAACCATAAAGTAAAGTCATATGTGTTAGAAATGTCACAATTTTTTTTAAAATGAATAATTACTGTACGAGTATCAGATGTTGCACCACTCCTGCAGAATTAGTTAAAGGAGGAATTCTTGTGAGAGACCACGCCAATCAATTAAAACTGATTTGCTGAAGGCTGGCAGAGTAGAGGGAGCAGTTGTTTATAGCCTCATGCTCTGTTTCAGCCTCCCGCTTGTGAAAGCGCAGACTATGAGAACAAAACCAAAGTATTGTATCTGAATAAAGATGACAAAGAACAATAGGAGCCTCTGTACAGACAAGGCAGAGAAAAATGCGAGAGGAGGGGTGTGTGTGTGTGTGTGTGTGTGTAGAAGTGTGTTATGACAGATTACTTAACTATGGATTTGGGTCAATGCATATTCATCCATTTTGCAAGAGGAAAATACTTGTAAGGCTTGCTCAGTTCAGCTAAATGTCTTTTAATATTTGAACTAACAATATTTTCAGCATGCATCTTTAAAAGATTAGATTAAAAAATAATAAATAAAGCATTCACAAAAGGCTAAAAGGTGAAATTAGATTTCTTAAAGCTGCCCAACTTAAGTTTATATATGAACAATGTATGAAATTACTATGTGTAATGTGATAGGTGTTGATCAGTGATGCAATGATGAACCCACAGATTATTATCAACTCTATCAACTCTGCACTGTTGCTCCGTGTCTGCTGCATGTGTAAATTAATTAGTTGTTTGTCGCCCCATCAACTTTACTAGGTGAAACTATGTAAATATTGTAGCAGAGAAGTAAGGTACCACCCTATATTTCAAGTAAATTTCCAAAGACAATTCGGAAACTGTGACTTTAAAAGATTTGTTTTGTAAATGACTGGTGAAGCTATTCCATTAACATTTAAAAGTTGGCCTGTCATCTGCCATGCCCATTAAATGTTATCAAATTAGATTTATGAATTTATTTTGCATTGCAAAAACCATTGGTTTATTTTATTTTATGCAGGCAGGATGTGATCTAGCTACTCACTCCATTTCCAGGACATGATTTCACAGAGCAGAGGAAGAATTTGGGAAGGCACAGGGAGGCAGGTGCACTGGTTTATTCTTGCGTACCTTCTCCTCCTGGCTCTACCATGCATGGGCTTCCTACCCAACTTTTGGTCTCGAGTGTTAACACTGTCCTGGGACTCGCGCACACACCAGTACATCACGGAGCAGGCGATTCTCAATGTCACCCTGGAGACTTTGAGGGGTGGCAAAAAACACCAGGCAAGCCATGCAGAGGAACAGGTGAGCTGATGTCTGAAGTCAGGTTATTTACTGTACATCCAGTACAAAAATAGTGCTGCAGCTTTCTACTATTACACAAACGGATCAATAAGATGTTTATTGTATTAAAATCTGAACAGTTTCAATGAATGCACAAGGAAGGAACTTCTCTTCTTCTTAGTTCATATTACATTGTGATATTTGAGCACAGAACAACATCTTGTTCCAATGAGGGTAAAAACAAAAATCATCCTGTATCCCTCTCAGACCAGACTGGACCGTGGCTTCTGGAGAGCTGTGGGAGAGGTGGTGAAGTCCAACGCGGCCATGGACTTCCTGAGCTCCACCAGGTCCGACCCGGTGTACCACTTTGATTCAGAGCACGTGGACAGCGCCATAGAGATGTTACGGCAGTTCTGGGCTCAGACTTTGCTTTCAGTACGGGCCAAAGAGTACCAGAGTGCTCGTCACAGTTTGGGCCAGCTATTTCACTCCCTGCAGGTACACAGCAGCACTGTAATTAAGACACCAACGTCAAAAGATGATGTAATGTGATAAAACAGATAACAAAAGAAAAGAAAGATTGGACAGGATGAAGAGCTCTTTTTAGGATTATGTTTTGTAGATTCTCTTCAGTCTTGACTTTAAACAAACATGGCTCACATTCACTGATCAGAGTGGTGCTAGTCGTGGTGTTTGTTATCTTGTTGCCCCCAAAGCGATCAGGAGAGTAAAAATGGACAAACTATTCTCCAAAAGAGGACAGCACATTCTCCACCTCAACATTAGAAGGTTTTCATAAAGATCAACAAACTTAATCTGCTCACCAATATATGCAAGGTAGGAGAGTGCTTTACTGAAATAAATAGCAATGTGATAGCAATATATCTATTGCTATCACATTGCTCAGAGAAGACGTTGAAGATCAAACAGAGAATTATATTGTGATCAGACGAGACTGGAATCATAAAAGGCCAAGGAGTGTGTGTATTATGTTAGATCAGTTTGTTTCACATCTGTTTTAATCACAGAACAGAGCTTTGTAATAATTATATTGAATCTGTGTGGTCGGATATCTTATTACCGAAGTCTAAACATTAGAATAACCTTCATGATCTTTTAGAGGAAATCTTTTAAGTTTGAAGATCTGGCTTCAGGAAATCCTACTGCACTGACACTTCTATCTTACTGACTACAACAGGAAAGAGATAGATGTGGTAAAGTACGGTGGTATGATCAATTTAGACCTCCAAAAGGCATTTGTTAATGTAGATAATATCATTCTACTGACCAAGTTAAGAGCTTTGCGAATTTAATAACATGAAGCTAACATGGATTGGCTTGTGTGGGAGATAAGAAACAAAAAGTGGATGTGGATGGGACTCTGCCCAAACCCAAGCTCCTGAAATATGGGGACTCTCAGGGAAGTGTTTTAGGCTCCTTGTTTTTTTGTTATACAGTATTAATATAATTAATAATATGAAATCTGCTGGCTCATGTGACCTTTTTCTATATGCAGATGATTCTGCATTATTGGGATCTTGCAAAGATTAATCAGAGGTTAAAAAAGTTCTGAGCTCTGAATTATTCGATATCAGTAGATGGTTATCTGACAATAAGTCAGTCCATCTTTGTAAAACTGAGGCCATACTCAGGTAAAGCTCAAGAAGGCTCCAGGTTTTAGGATTGTAAGGGGCAACACTGAGGTCACAGCCTTATTAGAGGTAGATAGTGCTCACCAAAGTTAACCAAAACATCAGATTTCTGGTTAGAATATCAGTTTTTTTTATCTTAAGAGACATTGACAGGGGCTCTTGTACAGTTTCATTTTGATGATATATGCTGCACCTGGTATACAAATGCACCTATGAAAAAGAAGCTTCCTGAATTGCTAAAAGAACTGGCGCAGTTGATCCTTAATCTTACACATTAGCTCGTGTTATCAGCCTTAGATGGCTGAGAGATGTAAGACAGAGTTTAGAAGCATCAGAAGCAATAGTATCTGTTAGGCTATGGCACTTTGTTGGCATTGTATATTGCTATGATTGTATGGATTCATTTAATTTTAATTTATACAAGATAATAGATTTTGTTATATGTTCTATAGTGCATATCGTGACTGAAAGATTTGTGATGAAATATTTATGAGGGTGATGTTCAAGGTTTTATTGTTTATGTTTATGGATTAATATCATAAAAGTTCAATTAATCAATCAACCAATAAATCAATTAATCAATCAAGCAGTTATCTTATGAGTGGTTCATCATCAATGATATGATCAAGATAAATGCTAAGGTTGTCCTGAATGAGTTCACTTTGGCAAAGTAAACTCCAACACTCAAGTTGTGGTCTTTTAAGATCTCATCCTACATGTGCAGTTTAGGTTTTCTCTATTTAAGTTCTGCCCTGCTGCTTGCATGGATATTAATATGTAAGTTGAAATACTGAGATGGCATTTAAATCAAAATGCGCTGGCAAAAATGTGAGTAATGCTTTGTCTTTCAAACTTCTGTTATGCCAGGACTTCTACAGCCACAGTAACTGGGTGGAGATGGGCCAGCGCTTCATTTACCTCCACCTGCTGCAGCCAGAGGAGCCTGCCATACCTGTGGCTAAAGGTCATTCACGTCTTCACACCTGTGATTACACAACCGCCCACTTTAACAGATCGAAAAGGGATCCAAGGGCTGGGGGATGATTAAAGATTATTGCTTATCAATTTTCAGCAGAATATCATCCTGATGATATGATCTTCTACAGGATTTCTAATCACAGAATGAGTTATTAATGTTTAGTTTTACATCAATGAACAGTTTGGTTTCATGTAATGTACAGTAGAACATAGTTCACTAATTTGAACAAGAGCTTGATTTTTTCATGCTTTATGTGATTTCATTCGTTTACCTAATGTCGATTGTATCATAATTTCAGTCATATCACCCGCCACTTAGAATTGGATTTTTAAACAGCTGATGTACAAGTTTGTACAGCTAGT